GATGGTGATAGGTCTGTCCAGGTATTCCAGGTCTTCTTGGGAGGCTACAGGAATCCAGAAATGTGTCCATTTCCTCGAGGTTTTCTTGTTTCGGCATAAAGGTTCTCAAAGTAATCACTGAGGATCCTTTGAATTTCTGTAGTTTCTGTGTGATGCCGTCCTTTTCATTTCTGATTAAGGTTTTCGCTCTCCCTTTCTTTGTGAGTCTTGGTAGAGGTTTATTGATCTTTATTTTCGCAAAGAATAAGCTCTTGATTTCATTGATCTTTTGGATTGTTTTTTGGGCTTCCAACTCATTAATTTCTGCTCTAAGTTTTATTTCCTTCCTCCTGCCTGGATTGGGCTCCTTTTGTTGGTCATTCTCCAAACTCTTAAGCTGTGAGGTTAGGTTACTTATATGGGCTCGCTCTTCCTTCCTGAGAATGCTTGTAGCCCTATAAACTTTCCCCTTAACACCACTTTTGCTGTGTCCCATAAGCTCTGGTAACTCATCTTCATTTTTGTTTGTTTCCAGGAATTTTTTGATTTCCTTTCTAACACACTCGTTGTTCAGTAGTGAGCTTTTTAATTTCCAGGTGTTTGATTTGATTTTCAATTTGTGTGTGTGTATGTGTGTGATTCAGTTCTATTTTCAGCACATCATGGTCTGAGAAGATCCTTGATACAGTCTCTATCTTCTTAATTTTATGGAGGTATGTTTTGTGGCCCAGCAAGTGGTCTATCTTGGAGAATGTCCCATGCACACTTGAGAAGAATGTGTATTAGCTTTTTGAGGATGAAGTGTCCTATATATATCTACTAAGCCTTCCATTTCTTCCATTTCTTCCCTCAGATAAAGTATGTCCTTGCTACGCTTGAGTCTGGTTGATCTGTCGAGAGGTAATAAAGCAGTGTTGAAATCTCCCACTAGTATTGTGTTGCTATAGACTTTCTTTAAGTCTATGAGTGGTTGTTTTAAGTATTTTGCTGGTCCCTCATTAGGTGCATATACATTTAGGACTGTTAAGTTCTCCCTGATGTACAGATCCCTTGATCAATAAGAAATGACCTTCACTCTCTCTTGTGATTTTCAGTCTGAAATCAATGTGGTCTGATACCAGAATGGCCACCCCAGCTTTTTTGAGGGACTTGTTTGCCTGTAGGATTGTTTTCCAGCCTTTGGCTTTGAATCTGTGTTTGCTCTGACTGTTCAGATGTGTTTCTTGCAGGCAGCAGAATGTTGGGTTCAGTTTTCTAATCCATCCTGCCACTCTTTGTCTTTTAATTGGTGTGTTTAGCCCATTGATGTTGAGAGAGAGTATTGTTATGGGGTTTTGCCCCATCTTTTTGCTGAAATTTGGTGTATTTGAGAGGCTTGTCTTGTCTTAAAGTAACCCATTTAGTTGTTCTTGTAACCATGATTTTGAGTCTATGAAGTTCCTGAGTTGTTTGTCTGTGAAACTGTGAGTTGTTCCTTTTGAAATGAATGAGAGTCTAGCTGGGTAAATATTTTTGGTGAGATGTTTATTTCAGTGAGTTTTTTTTCTATATCCCACCACTGTTCTTGGGCCCTGAGGGTTTCATCAGATAAGTCAGCTGTACTTCTTAAGGATGCTTCTTTATAGGCAATTTCTTTCTTTGATCTTGCTGCTTTCAGAATTTTGTCTGTCTATGGTTTCCGTCATTCTGATCAGAATGTGTCTTGGAGTACTTTTACTTGGATTCCTTCTAGCTGGTACCCTTCAGGCCTCCTGAATCTGGTCTTATGTGCTCTTCATCTCTGAGAACATCTTAGCAATGATGTCTTTGACAGTTTCTTCGTTGTCAGGGTTTTCTTCCTGTCCCTCTGGAACTCTAGTGATTCTTATATTATATTCCTCGTGGCTTCATCCCGATTTTTCTTGTCATCTGTTGGTTCATTCTGAGGGTCTTTTCCATTTTGTGCTTTAGTCTGGAAATTCTCTGCATCTCATCTTGGAGATGATGAAACATTGATTCTGTCCTCAGCAGCTTTTTAATCTGCTGCTGAGGCCTTCCACTGAGTTTTTCAATTCGCCTGCCAGGTTTTTCAGATCTGTCATTTTTTTTTTTGTAATTTTGTTTGCAAAATTTTGTTTGTAAATTTGTTTGCAAAATTCTGCTCTCAGGTTGTCTTGTATTTTATTGGTGGTGCGTTGCATTGTTTCTTTTAGCTCCCTATGCATCCACAGTGGCTCCCTTCTAAATTACTTGTCAGAGAGGTTGTCTAGCGCACCGTTACTGGTTGGGTCATCTGGGCTAGTTTCTTCACTAAGCTTGGTGGGCTACTGTGTTGCTTTACCATTGTGACCTGTGAGGTTTAGTCTTTCATGCTTACTGTTACTGGTTTTTTTTTTTTTTTTGGTGTGATATTCACTGAAGTGGGGCTAATGAATTATTGGCTGAATGTGTTTTTGGTGATTGGGTTGCCCTAGTGAAAGTTCCACCTAAGAGGATAATTTATGGTTATTATAGGATATGGAGGAGAATAACAACATGGCCGTGGCTCTGGATGCCACCCCCACAGGGCCTGTACCTGGGTTGAGGGAAATGAGCTAGTTCTTGAAAGTTGGCTGCTAGTGGCACAGCCTGCCCAGTTTCCCGTCCCTTGGAGATCTGAGCTTGATAACTAGCTCTGCCCATGCCCAGCTGCAAGGCTCCAGACACCACGTCCACTGGGCCTGTACCTCAGTTGGGGGAGATGAGCGAGTCCTTGAAAGTTGGCTGCTGGTGGGGTGGCCCGCCTTCATTTTCTTAACCCAAGTAATTTCACTCATTCTCAAAAACTTCAGCAGTGGGCTGGAGTGATAGCACAGCAGGGAGGGCATTTGCCTTGCATGCAGCCGACCCGGGTTCAATTCCCAGCATCCATATGGTCCCCCGAACAATGCCAGGAGTAATTCCTGAGTGCAGAGCCAGGAGTAACCCCTGTGCAATGCCGGGTGTGACCCCAAAAACAACAAAAAATATTAAAAAAAAACAGCTTCAGCAACTATATTATGTCATGTGAAAGGGATGGGAGGCTCTGATGTTTATATGGCAAGCCCAAGATCGTGGAGGAGTAAGATCGATTCCTCAAACCTTGACTTAAAACTCAGCCAGCATGTTTGTTGTGTGGACTAGGTAAAACACTATATGACACTGTGATTTCTTTTTTTTTTTGAAATGACATCTTTAAAGCCATTCAGTAAATACACTAGGTTTGGTGCACAGAAAGTGATTTCTGGGTTTTTACAGGATCCACGCAGTATGAAACACATCAACTCAGGCAAGACCCATGTCTACATTGCAGTGTATTTGGAAGTGGATGATGAATCTGAGTGTGTACCCGAGGGTGATAAACGAATATGCATTTGTAGGGGAGAGATGAGTTGTTGAGTTGTCTGGCAGACAGACCCGAGGGTCTCCAACTCTCCCCAAGACTACCCTGGGGCTTGGTTTTAAAAGGACAATCCAGGACTGCTGAAATATGAAGTAGCAAAGTCTTCCAGATGTTTTATTAACTTCTCGCTGGGACAGAGGAGGCAGGTACTCAGTGCTCTGAGGTCTGGGGCTCCTCCTGGAGAGTCAGCCGTTCTGAGGGAGCCTAGGGCCATTTCAGGGATACTTAATGCCACCTGGGGCTGGAGTTTTGTCTCTGCACCCCTCCCACCGCCCCACCAGCATAGTTTCTGTTAAAATCACAGGCTGCGTCCATACCCCTGGGGGAAAGAGACATGGCAGGGGTATGTCTTGTGCCAGCACCTTGGCTTCTTTACAGCCTCTTCCAGAAATGAGCTGCAGGAGGAGACTAAATACAGCCTAAAGATAGTCTGTATCAGGGATGTGATCAGAAGGTGGTGAGTTGCTCACCAAGGAAACTTGGGTTCCTCGGGGCTCAGTTCCTCTGGAGATCAGAAGCGGGTGACTTGCGCCAATTCCTCTACCCTGACCTCCAATATTATAATTTATTTTTATGTATCAGATTAATGCACACTTGTTCAGGATTGCTTGGATGGTGATTTTATGCAACTAAGTGTGACCACATAACCCCAGCTTCTGATCCTTGTTGTACCATTTGAGAAGCAACCAGGTCTAACCTTTCTTGTGGAGTTTCTCAAATTGTGTCTTCAACTCATGTTGCAGACTTGTTGAACATTTCCGGTGAGATCTAAGAGTGACCAAAGTTTAGAACACTGACAAAGAATAGTGATACTTAAGATAGGGCAGAGTGACCTATATGTGTAAGTTTGGAAAAGTACCTTCAAAATGCCCATTGATTTATGCTGCTCCATTAAATCAAACTGAATAAAATAATCCCAACCGACTTTAGACTCATATGAAGGAGTGTAAGATAAAGTTGGTTAACAAACACTGGTTTAGAGGTAGAGGCATCTAGAACATGTAAAACAGCAAGAAACACATACCATGAGGAAAGAACTTGTGTTGGGTCTGTGAGTGAACGTTAATTATCACTTCTCATAGTTGAATCTAAAAGGCCAATGCAGAAGATGACCATCTGCCTTCTTGGATCTGTGGCTTGGGACTGGTTGGGTCACTTTTTTTTTCTTTTTGGGTCACACCCAGCGATGCTCAGGGGTCACTCCTGGCTCTGCACTCAGGAATTACTCCTGGCGGTGCTCAGGGGATCATATGGGATGCTGGGAATTGAACCCGGGTTGGCCGCATGCAAGGCAAACACCCTTCCCACTGTGCTATCACTCCACCCTCTGGTTGGGTCACTTTTAATATTGAGTCTAATCCTTTTTTGATTTTGCAAAGTTCTCCTAATTTTAAGTTTCTAATATATAGAATTATGGTAGTATAATTTGCATGGGTTTTTCTCACGTTGATATTGAAGAAAGCAGTTTTAGAAGCCACATTGGTTTCAGAAACATCTTAGTTTTATTGGGAAGACAGTGAGAAAGACAAAAGTGGGAATGGTTTGAAGAATTTTATGGACAGTTGATGCAACATTTCTGGTGGAGTAATTGGAGTAATTATTTCTGGTATTTGTCTTTTAGACATCAGCTACGATCTGAAGAAGGGAACTCTTCTGAGAATCTAAAAAATCATATTGGACAGTTAGAATCAGAACTTGCATTTCTAAGTAAACTTACTGGCATCAACATAACGAAATGTTCGAAGTATACAGAAGAGATAACAAGCGCTGAGATGAAAGAAGCAGGTATTGATTTTGATCTAGAAGTGGTTTTGAGGGTAACTTTATTATTCATAGAAATTTGTTGACATAGGTTTTAATTAAAATCCTACAGTTTTCTAAAATTCAAATATTTAAGTGTGATTGACCAACTTTTCTAGTTAGCTCTCTTTTGTTGTTGTTTTTGAGTCACACTCACCAATGTTCAGGACTTAACTACTGGTTCTGCGCTCAAGAATCACTTATTTTATTTTATTTTATTTTGAATCACCATTAGATACAGTTACGAATTTTCATGATTGAGTTTCAGTCATACAATAACCGAACATCCATCCCTCCACCAGTACACATTTTCTATCTCCAATATCCCCAGTGTCCCTCCCGCCACCCCCACTTCACCCCTTGCCTCTATGGCAGACACTTTCCTTTTTACTCTCTCTCTACTTTTGGGCTTTGTGGTTTGTAATACAGACACTGAGAAGCCTCATGTTTGGTCCTTTGTCTACTTTCAGCACACATCTCCCATCCCGAGCGTCAGGTATCGCTTCTGGCAGGTTCAGGCAACCAGAGCCTGAGCAAGCCATGTGCTAGGCAAACGCCCTATCTGCTCTACTATCTCTCTAGCCCCTTCTTAGGTGTCTTTTGAACTTTGATCATCACCGTGTACATAATAACTTTTAAAAGCTGCCTGACCCCGGTTTCATCCCCAGCATCCCACACAGTTCAGGAGTGTTCCCTGAGTGGAGAGCCAGGAGTAACTCACGAACACTGCCAGCTGTGGCCCCAAATCGAAACCAAAACAAAACAATGATGCCTGAAGTAGATAGTAAAGCAAACACTCTTGTTAGGTAGCTTAATAGTCAATAATAAATGATTGTAAATAGAGTAATATTTATAAATTTCTGAATATGATCCCACATGGGGAGATTACTGTGCAGAGCCTGGAATAATCCTTAAGAACCACCAGTTGAGCCCCAAAACAAAAGCAAAAGATGCCCCTACAAAAAAACCCAAAGATATTGATCTGTATACTTAAAAGGACAATTTATCCGTTTAAGTGAATACCTAAAACTATTATGACATCGTAAAGTATTTTTGCTTGTTGTTTTTGGGGCCATACCTGGCTGTGCTCAGAGCTTCCTCCTGGCTCTGTGCTCAGGGATCACTCCTAGTGGTGCTCGGGGCACCAGATGAGATACTGAGAATCAAACCCTGGTCAACTGCATGCAAGACAAGCACTGCACCCACTGTTCTGTTGCTCTGGCCCAAAATCCTAAAGGCTTGAGTGATAAAAATACATGGATTCAGTTTACTGTTTATAATCAGATCACGGTCGTGATCCTCCCGTTGTTCATCGATTTGCTCGAGCTGGCCCAGTAACGTTTCCATCATGAGACTTGTTACTGTGTTTGCCATATTGAATATGTCACGGGTAGCTTGCCAGGCTTTGCCGTGCGGGTGAGATACTCTTGGTAGCTTGCCGGGCTCTCCGAGAGGGGCGGAGGAATCAACTCAGGTCGGCCATGTTGGCCGCTTTCAAGGCAAACGCCCTACCCGCTGTGCTATCGCTCCAGCCCTATAATCAGATAATAGAAAAATTAAAGACATCTAACATTCGCACTTGTCTAAGTTTATACTAGTGTAATTCTATTTCTTGCCTAAATCTTTTAGTAGCGTGAAGAACATTATTTAGTGCAGTACACATGCTTCATGTACCCACATACACCCACATACCCACGTTTGTTATAGATATTTTCATAAAATTAAATAAGAACTCTTTGAAGAAGATTGATATTTGCAAACAAATGATTCATTTTTTTTTACTTGCAGGTATAAAGAAAGTTCTGCAAAAACACAGATTATCAGGGCATTGTCACATGATTAGATTTGAACTTGAATTTCAGATTCTGGAAATACAGGTAAAAAGAAATATGATGTGATAACAATGATTCTATGCTGTATAATTTAAAATTCCCCAGCTGAGCCTCTAGCAGTATGCAAAGAGGTACCATTTAAAAAAATTTTTGTAAGTAGAAAAACCCTGGCAAGCTTATGTGATTGTGTTGTTGCTTGGAACAGGCATGTTTTCATGTTTTTCCCCTGGACAAGTCCTGAGTACTTGAGAACAATTCTGAGTGCCTTCAATAGTCAGCCTATTATATATGCCAACCATCTGACATTTTTATAGATTGCTGCTTGTTTCCCTAGAAGTTAACAGCAAGCATTTGTTATTTCACCCATTTTCCATGAGTCAGGAATATCTGATCTTCTCAGTTTGGAATTGTTGCTCTGAACTTATGGTAACCATCTTGGATCCCAGTGATCTGAAAATCTTTAGGGGTATAGGTCTCTATTTTAGAGTAGTTCACAGTTCCAGGAAGTTGTATTGGACTGCTAAGGAACTGAGGAAGTTACTGGGCAAAATTTTCACATAGAATTAGGAAGTGGAAAGCATGGTAATATGCAGCCTTTGGGAGGTGGGAGCAGAACAAGGCATAGGCACTTAACAAGGCAGGATCCACGGGGCTGTAGTGATAGTACAGCAAGTAAGTGACTGTACCAGTGACTGATCCAGGTTCGATCCCTAGGACCCCACGTGGTACCCTGAACCCTGCCAGGAATAATTCTTGAACACAGAGCCAAGAGTAAGCCAGGAGCACAGCTAGGTGTAGCCTAAGAACCAAGAAAAATCCCCAACAAAAAACAAAGGCTCCAAACTGGCCCTTCTCCCTACTCTGACCAGACCCTGAGTTGCCACCCACGAAGGGCTCCTCTGCTCCCAAATGGCCATGATCACAGAGGCACACAAACCAATCTGGGAACCCAGCAGCTTCTGGCAGAAATCCCTCTGGATTTAATTACTAAAGTACCAGAAATCCAAAATCACATGGCTGCTGTCGCGGCTGTGTGACATCATATGCTCTTCATTATCAGCTATAGAAAACAAATTATCTAATGATGCCTTTTCAGCAGAACTGATAGTTGGGGGGAAGTTCCAAATAAAAATAGTGGATCTTCTGTTGAAAAATTGAATAATCAAAGTAAAGAGAGAGTAAAGTGAAAATCATCTGTTACACAGGCAGGGGGAAGGGTGGGATGGGGGTTATACTGGGGTTCTTGGTGGTGGAACATGTGCACTGGTGAAGGGATGGGTGTCTGATCATTGTATGACCAAGACTTAAACCTGAAAGCTTTGTAACTGTTCTCATGGTGACTCAATAGCACAGCGGGTAGGGCGTTCGCCTTACACGCGGCCAACATGGCCGACCCGAGTTCGATTCCTCCGCCCCTCTCGGAGAGCCCGGCAAGCTACTGAGAGTATTCGATATGCCAGACACAGTAACAACAACAAAAAAAATAATTAAAAAAAAAAGCTGCCCCCAAAAAACCCAGACAAACAAAGGCTCCAAGAAGGGTGATATCCTGGCATAATTTTGATAAATGGTAAATATCATTTATCACTTGATAAATGATAAGGATTATGTGCATTGATATCAGGAAACGATTTCAGTTGGTCTCACACCTGGGCCTGCGTCAGTCTGTGCTGAGAGCAACAGGGAAGGGGAACAGGTTCTGTTGGCCTCAGCCCACTGAAGTAGTGGACCAGTCATCATAGGAAAGTCCTTGACTATGCGGTGGGCAAGCAGCTTGCTTGCATTCATTACCATGTGCCAGGATTTATTGTTCTTTTGTGGCATCTGTGTTCTTAGCTATAGAAATTGGTCCAAGCTTGGTTTTTGGTGGATTTTTTGTTGTTGTTGTTTGTTTATTTTTTATTTTGGGGCTACACCCAGCATGGCCCTATGCTTATTCCTAGCCCTGTGCTCAGGTGTCACTCCTGGCCAGGCTCTGGGGACCATATCTGGTGCCAGAGATCAAACCCCAGTAGGCTGTGTACAAGGCAAATGCTCTACCCACCATGCTATCATTCTGGCCCGTTTGTTTGATTTTTAGTACAGGCAGGAGTCAATGCCAGACCATCAAGTTACTGTATCCTTACGTGTTCGGCAGCCACCCCCAAGTAGTTAAGAGTGGGTTAAGATACCTGAGCTATAGGCTTTGTGTCTCTTTTTTTTTTTTTTGTTATTATTTGAGGTCACACTCAACAATGCTCAGAAATTACTTCTGACTGAGTACTTGGGAATGTTTTCAGCAGTACTTGGGGGACCATGCAGTGTTCGGGATTTGACTCAGGGCTTCTGCATGCACAGCCTGCACTCTAGCCCCCTGAACCTCTTCCTGGTTCCTTCTCAGGGACTCTATTGTACACAATTCCAGTTACCGCTAGTGGTCTTGACAGTCTGAGAAGTGCTTAGCTCTTTTTATGTCCCTCATCTGATAATAGAGTCCAGTGTCTCTGCTTCCCATCTGTCTCTGATTATCCCCCAGCTCTGTCAAGGTGACCACAACTATCCGCAGTTGGCACTACAAAGGCCTGTTGAGGGCATGACAGGCGTGGTTGAGGTATGGCATGAGGGTGGTTCACAAGGCAGGGTTACCACAGTCAAAACAGAACATAGACTCAAATGAATTGGTTCCCTTTGGGATGGGCAGCCTATGCCAGTGACCCCAGGCTTCTCCACTAGAAATCCAATGGACATTGTTCCATTGCTTAGGGTTCTCTTGTCAGACTAATCCCATTTTCTTCTTTTGTGGTCACTGTGATCTTAAACTCAAGAGTGTTGGTACAACAATAAATTAATATAAGAAAGACTGTGTCCTAGCCTATAGCCATCACATTGGCAGAATCAACCCCCTGAGGTCTGTTTTCTTGAACTCAGACCTATCTTCACGGTCACTGTGGAAATTGCCCAGAAATTGCTCTGGGACATCCTACTTGACTTGATGTCCTGCGGATTTTTTCTGCTCTAGGTATTTATCTCTTTGGTAATTGCTCTGTGTGTAGAGCAGCTAGACTGGGGCAAAATTTGGTTCGCCCTCAGGTAACTCATCCACAAATTCAAGTGAAAAGAGAAATGGCATCTCTTAAAGTTGAGGGGACCAAGCCCTCAATTCCAAGATGGATTAAGCCCAAAGATTAGTAGACTTGCTGCTCAGCAAGGCTGTGACCTTAGAAATCAAATAGACTTGAATATTTCTATTGCATTTTATTCAAGTTACATGCTTTGTTCACCTTAAGTCTCTGAAAGAAAGCACACAGTAGTTTGACACCATTGTGAATCAGATCCAGGATAAAGTCACAGTATGGGGCCATGTTTTGTAATGTGATGTGTTTCTGATGAATGAACACTACCTGATCAGACACATTCCCGGTGGGAACTGACTTAGACCCTGCAGCTCCCGTAGGCTGAAGGAGATAATACAGAGAGGGTAAGGTGCTTGCCCCCCCCCCCCCCCCCCCACAGATGACCGTGATTCAATTCCCTGGCACAATTTCTGGTTCCCCTAAGCACTTCCAGGAGTGATTTCTGAATATATAGTCAGAATAGGATCTGAGCATGCTGAAAGTAGACTCTAGACTGACATGATTGCCACCCAATGCCTCTTCTGCAAACCACAGCACCCAAAAGGAGAGAACAAAAGGGAGTGCTCTGCCACAGATGCAAGATGGGATGGGGGTGTGGGAGGGATACTGGGATCCATGGTGGTGGAAAATGGGCACTGGTGGTGGGATGGGTACTCGATCATTGCATAACTGAAACCCAAGCACAAAAAACTTGTAAGTCTACAACGGTATCTCATGGTATTTCACTAATAAAAAAAAAAGAATAGGATCTGAGGACACTAATAAATAAATAATCTATTAATAAATATTAATTAATTAATTAATTGATTGAGCCATACGTAACAAAGAACTTGAAGGTGCTTTAAAGTATTAGAAGTTTTTTTCTCTACTCACGAACACAACTGTAGAATATGTTTTCAAAGCTTAGTTTAGTGGTTCATGCTCCTTTATCATATCATTTTCACTTCAGCATCAGGAATGAGGATAAGCAAATAAAGGATTCCTTTTCCTCTGAAGGACACTGCCTTATTTTCATTCTGTTAAACCAATAAATTAATATAAGAAAGACTGGAAGTTTGATCTTCATTATGAATGGCTGTGTAACCACTGAAAAATTGGAGTAAGAAAATGTACAGGTCCTGGAGCTATGGTAGAATGCATGGGACATTGCCTTGCATGCAGTAGGCCCATGTTTTTATTCTGGCACCCCATAGGGTTCCCTGAGCCCACCAGGAGTGATTTCTAAGTGTAGAGCCAGGATTAAGTCCAAAGCACCACGATGGGTGGCCCCCAAATAAAACAAAACTGAACAAAAAAAAAAAACCCAACCAAAAACAATGTAGAAATATTGATTTCTATCCCAGATGCTTGCTGGGGGAGTGTGGGTAGTGCATTGGAGAATAATGAAAGGAGAGGTTCTTTTTTTTAAAAAAATTTTATTAGTGAAACACCATGAGGTACAGTTGTAGACTTACAAGTACCCATCCCTCCACCAGTGCCCATTTTCCACCCCCACGGATCCCAGTACCCCTCTCTCCACCCCCTCCCCCCCCCCATCCCACCCTGCCTCTGTGGCAGGGCATTCCCTTTTGTTCAGGAGAGGTTCTTTGAAAGGGTTAGAAACACAGAGCCTGAGACATAGGATAGTGGATAAGGCACTTGGCTTGCCTGCAGTCAACCTTGCTTCCATCCCCAGCACTGCATATAATTCCCCAGCACCACCAGGGGTCCCTCCATCTCAGTCAGGGGTCCTGAATACCACTGTATTTCACCCTCACTCAATTTTTTTTTTAAAGAATGATATAGAACACAGTAGTCACTGAATCTCCCCAAAGAGATGTAGCACTGTAGCACTGTCCTCCCGTTGTTTATTGATTTGCTCGAGCGGGCACCAGTAATGTCTCACAAGTTATGAGACTTGTTGTTACTGTTTTTGGCATATTAAATACGTCACGGGGAGCTTGCCAGGCTTTGCCGGGTGGGCAAGACACTCTTGGTAGCTTGCCGGGCTCTCTGAGAGGGACGGAGGAATCGAACTTGGGTCGGCCGCGTGCAAGACAATCGCCCTACCCGCTGTGCTATTGCTCCAGCCTACACTTAATGTGATACCCAGAAAAAATGAACTATATTTGTATATCAGTATGTGTATATATACAGACCTTATACAGTTTGTTTATAAAAACATATGTACATATACACAGACCTTATACAGTATGTGTATATCACTGTACTAACATATATGTACATATATACATTAACAAAGTCCTACATTTTTAAACTAATGTATATGTGCTGTGTTTCCTACCTGAGCATACATTATGCATTCACACTTATTTTGGTATTATCTGAAACAATCTGTATGGATTCAGACAGTGGGAACTTGAATAATATAGGAAAAATTCAAAATGAATGATAAAACAAATATGACTAGTCTATAAAATAAACTCTTAATTAATTCATGGTTTGATGTAAAATAATACACTTCAGAATAGATTTCCAAAATTTGGTATTTGACTGGATAATATCTCCACCTGTTTTAATAAAAACACCTTTGTTTTAGTGATTATTAAAATAAAAGTAAGTAAAGTAAAGGCCCTCCCGTTGATCGTCGATTTGCTCGAGCGGGCCCAGTAACGTCTCCATTGGAGACTTTGTTGTTACTGTGTCTGGCATATCGAATACTCTCGGTAGCTTGCCGGGCTCTCCGAGAGGGGCGGAGGAATCGAACTCGGGTCGGCCATGTTGGCCGCTTGTAAGGCGGACGCCCTACCCGCTGTGCTATTGTCTTTTTATGAAGATATTAACTATCTTCACAAATCAGTAGATATTTTACTTATCACCAATCTAGGATCATGCCAATTCTAGATTTTTTGAATAACAAAAGTAACATATTTCATAATTAAAAATATCATTCCTATGAGGCAGTTGGACACAATGGAAGAAAAAGAACAGATACTTTGCAGTAGGCTAATATGAAGACAGAATGCTTCTTTGGGGGCTGGAAAGAGAGCACAGCAGATCGGAAAGAGAGCACTTGCCTTGCATGCTGCTGTCCCAGATTTGATCTCCTGCACCTCATATAGTCCCCCAAGTCCCAACAGGTGTGATCTCTGAGTACAGATCCAGTAGTAATCCCGGACAACTGCCTGGTGTGGCCCACACCCCCAACCCCCAAAAAAGTTGTCACTGGTACCACTGGTACTGTTTTTATATTGATTTTTTATATTAGAAATTAATATGGCAATTATATCTCAACTTTTTCTCAATTTAATTTTCTATATGTGGATTATTTTTTATTCAACCAGAAATGATTGTTTGATAAATGCTTATTTTATACTTCTATAATAAGACATATCTTTTAATTTCAATTATGTTTGAGTTCAAGCCAATCATATTAATGCTAATAATGTGAAAAAAACATTAAATTTGAACTTATATCATGAGGTTCGGTTTATTTATTGTTGTGAAATTTAAAATACAGATTAAAGAGATTTAAGTTTTGATTATTCACACTTCAAAATACATAGGTGTTTTTAAAGTGCTTGAGTTTATTTGCTTACTTTGCTACAGAAAGACCAAATTTTCTTTTCCTGACTATGATAGATCACTCACTTTCTTTCTGCCTGTTTGCAATTTTGTGACTCTAGAAGAATCCTAGAAAAGAGCCACTAGTCTGATAAAATGTGGAAGCAATTTCAGCTCTTAAAGTAAGAAATCTTTAGGGATGAGTTATATGTGGAATTCATAGGGTTTCTTGGGGGAATGAAAAGAAGAAACAACAATTTTATTTTACTTTGTTCCTTTGAATTCTGATACAGTATCATGAAAGTTTTTTAAAAGCTTGTGTCAATAGTAAATCTTCACATTCTGGGCCTCCTTGAATGAATATTCATTGATAAAATTATTGATAAGGTATACATTGATAAAGATAATAAGTTGCTAGGTCAAAAGAGATATATGTGTAAATTGGTATTTCAAAACTCTTCAAGAAAGCATTGACATTTTGTGTGTTTGAGCAGATTTTTAGAGTTGATTTCAAAATTTAAAAAGCAATGGTGAATTCATAGCAACCCTCCATATTCAAAAATTTCCACTAGAGGGAGATGTTTAGCTATCAGAATATTTAAAATAACCTAAATAATAAAACTCCTTTACTTATACAATGCTGTAATAAAGTCATAGGAATATGAGCGATAGGTTTGGGAACCCTGTCCGGTGCAGACAGAGGACAGAAATGAACAAAGTGAAGGAAATAGGAGAAGTTTATTGGGGTACGTACGTTCCCTGGCAAAATCCATGAACCTCTGAGGAGTCTGGGGTAGACCTGCACTCTGGAAGAGACTAAAGGGGCTTTTAAGTTGTCTTGGGCAGGAAAAAGGGAGAAAGGGACAAAGGCCAGTGGAACCAGTGTGCTTGGTCTGGCCTGTTAGCTGCAGGGAATGGATCTGAGGAAACATGGAATGCAACCTGGTAGCACCATGTGGGCCATAAGTCCTGTCTTCTTTGCTGGGGACAGGGTGATCCCTGATTCTGGAAATGTTGCTGTCTCATCAGCCAGTCATCATTTGGTCCCGGATGCAGTTTCGTTCAAGCATAAACTCACAATGAGTTTTGAACCAAAATGTTAATTATAGTCACCCAATAATTGGTAGAGTGGTTGATCCAAAAGTGACCTTATAGTCTATCCAGGTGAGTCTCATGAGAGATGCAGTGATCACCCATTTTTGGCGCAGCAATTGTCAATAGGAGATGGAACATACAATTCTATTCCCCAGGTTTACAGTTTGATGTTAGCACTGCTCACTGTTTTTGAGGCATTGAAAGAACTTAGGAATTAATATGTCAGTATAAACCATCCATACAGCACAATAAATCAGATAGATTGCAGTTTCTTTCTGGTTTTTGTTTTGGGGCCACACTGGATAGTGCTCGGGGCTTACTCCTGACTCTGTGTTCAGGGATGTCTCCTGGCCGGTCTCAGAGGACCATATGTAGTACCAGGATTGAACTGGGGCTTGTCATGAGCAAAACAAACGCCCCCTACCCACTATATTACCAATTTCCACCTGGTTGCCATTTCTTGGAAAGTGGTAGACTAAGTATGTTTTCTCCTAAAATGAAAAGAAATATGACTCAAAATGCAATTAATTGTTTTAGTGAAAAGGAATCTAATCACCAAGTAACCTGGTACACTAGTAGATATGAGACTTCCATCCTCCCCAGAATTCAGATTATGTGCTTTAAAAGGGGAAATATAGGATCTGAAACAGAACTTGAGGGCTGAAAGAAGAGTGCAAGGAACTGTAGAAAAGGGTAAAAATAAAACTATAAATGAGAGTGCCTAAGCACCACCCAGTGTGGGCCCCAAACCAAAAAAGGAGGGTGAAAGGAGGGGGCGGGGGGGAGAGAGAAAGAGAGAGGGAGAGAGAGACAGAGACAGAGACAGAGAGAGACTGACTTGCTAGGATAGATGAGATTTTTTTGGTGGGGGACTTTTTTTTGTCTTGGTAACACCCAGCAGTGCTCTGGGCTTATTCCTATTCCTCACTGGCCTCAGAGATCCCTATTCACAGGGCTTGGGGGACTACTTGGGTTCAGTTCTGCCCAAGGCAAACACCCTACTCACACTAGCCCCTGGGATAAATATGGATATTAAGTTATATTTTGTTAAAATGGTTTCCATAATGGATGTACCGACTTAGAATCAGATACATTGTCAGGTCTGAGTATATTTATTAGCATTGGTATTTTTAAATCCTGTTCATTTTGAAGTAAAAATCTCATCTCTTGTATTAATTTGTAGTTGTCTTCTAGTGATTTCAGACATTTTTTTCCCCACATAAATCCTCGTTTCTCTCTGTATTTTTTATTTTTAGTCCATGCCATTTGTCAGTTTTAGTTTTCAGATCTCATTGTCATGTGTGGTAATATATTTTCCTTAGTTTATTGCTTCTTTTTCTAAATAATGACAGGAATTATTTCTATTCTTTTTATTCTTTTTTTTGTAACTTTCCCCTGAATCATCAGTTGTTTTTATTTCCTCCCAATATTTTATGTTTTCAGTGTTTACATTTAAGTAAATGAATTTTTTGAAATTCACTTTGATCTTTGGTTTTTAGTAAGAATCTCATTTTATTATTTTAATAAATACTCAGTATTTTTAGTATCTTTCATTGGTTAGATTTTCCTATTATTAGTGGCATTTTACTTGGCATACTTAAAGTATTTTTATTTTTGTTTAAAAGTTTGCTCTGATGCATAAACTTTTTAAATTTCAGAATAAAGAGAATTCGTCTTCTGTTATTACTGACCTCAATATAATAGAACCCACCAACTATCCAGAATTAAGTGAATTTGTATCTAGGTAAGTTATTTTATAATTTTGTTTTGGGGGGATTATTTTCACTACAGTTTTAAGCTTTTTCTTTTCTTTTTAATTTTGTTTTTGCAGTGTTGGGGATTGAAGGCAAGGTATCATATAAGATTTCTATAAACAACTCATGACTTTAAATTGTAGACTATAGAACAAATGCATAAATTTCTGGAGTGTCACAGCTTCCCAAACTTGAGTCAGGAAGAAGTAGAAAACTTGAATATACATATATTGTTATCAGGGAGACTGAAGCTTCAAAAATCTCTTAAAATGCCTGAGTTTTTAAGGAAAGAAAAGAGATGGGTTTCCTGGTGAGTTTTTCTAAACTTTCAGAAAGATCTATTAATCATCCTCCTCAAGGGATCTTTCCTCCAATACTTTCTGTGAATCAAGATTACCTTGATATGAAAAGCTAACAGAGGCATTACTGAAAAATAAAATAAGACCAATACCCCTGATGAACATGGATGCAAAGAGCCTTAATAAAATCCTACAAATCAATACAGTAAGCATATCATGCACTATGATTAAGGGGGACTCTTCCCAGGGATGAAAGGACAGTTCAATATATGCAAAATATTGTAATATACCATATAAATGAAAGGACGGATCATTTCCAAGGATGCAAGGAAAGCCTTTAAGAAGATTCAGCACTGACTCATGATGCTAGGTCCATGATTGAAAGCCTGCCTCAGGTGCTGGCAGGAAAGGCAGTTGGGATAAAGAAGGAACCACTATGACAATGATAGTTAGAAATGATCACTCTGGATAAGAACTGCACACTGCAAATAGGTAAAGGCACAAACAGGATGACCCCTTAGTGTCTATATTGCAAGCCATAATATAATACCCAAAAGGAGGTGGGGGGGGAGAGAAAGAAAGAGAATGAGAGACAGAGGAGAGAAGAGAGGAGAGAGAACGTGCCTGCCATGGAGGCAGACTCGGGTGGTGACAGGACGGAAACTGGGGACATTGGTGGTGGGAAATGTACACTGGTAGAGAGATGGTTATTTGAACATCGTATGACTGAAACCTGATCATGAACAGCTTTGTAACTGCATCTCACAGGGATTCAATTTAAAAAAAAAAAGCCCTCAAAAAAAAAGGAATTGAAGGGACTTAATAGTGTAAAGATTATATATGCTAAACCCATATCTAACATAATCCTTAAAATTGGAGAAAACGGAAAGCCCTTCTGAGGTCAGGTACAAGGCAGTGATATCCACTTTCTCTGTCACCATTCAACATAATATTGAAAATCCTTTCCATAGCAATAGGTAAGAGAAATCAAAGTAATTCAGTAAAGAAGTCAAATTACAACTATTTTCAGATGACATGATAGTCTATGTAGAATGCTATAAAATCTCCACTGAGAAGTCCTAGAAACAAACATACAGTAAAGAGGCAGGGTACAAAATCAGTGCAGAGAAGTTTTTATCAGCATTGGTTCAATGATTAAACATAGTCATTGGTTCGATGATTGTACTAAAACTTCATATTCTCTCTTCCCTAGCAGTCTGTTTTGCTCAAAGTCCTATTTAGCCTTTTAATTATGTGGTTGGTCTATCTGGTGAACTGCTCTCCTCTGAGGTTATCCAGGACCACTGTGAATTGCCTCATTGGCATCATAAATACACTCTTGTCACGTGAAGTTGCAAGGGATTTTGAAGCTCTGTGCCCAAAATTTGGATAAAGACCATATGTGTTCTTTATTACCAGTCATCACAGAAGATTTCAGGCGGTATCAAAAGATGGGTAGGGTGGAAACATTTGAAAATGGGGAAGGAGGCATTCCAGATTGAGAAATTAACATTTGCAACTGCACAGGGGTGCTACACAAAAGTATAAGATTCAGTGTGTGGAAATATATTAATTATTTTGGGAAATATATTGCTCACACCCAGCAATGCTCAGGGGTTACTTCATGCTTTCCTCAAGGGTCACTTCTGGCCTGCTAGAGGGATCGTGAGGTTCTAGGGATTAAATTCACACTTGATTTTAGCCAAAAGGCTGAGAAGCGATGGGGAGTGTGAGAGGGGAGGGATTATATCAAGACTTCCTGCATGTAGAGAAACACTCATCCCCCTGAACTCTCTCTCTCTAGTCCTATCAAGTATATTTTGTAGCTTTGGGGATGGTTTTATGTAAAGCAAGTTTGGGGTTTGCGTTCAGATACTTATTAATCATGTTATCTTTCATTTCTGCAGTGTAGAAGAAAGGAGAGATCTTGTCTTATTTTTCCAGACCCTACACTTTTTTGTGGAGTGCTTTGAACACCGTATGCGCACGTTTAAACATTTCAAGGTAAAGTCTAGATTTAAAAATTTTAAACATATGAAAAATGAAGCTGGTGCTACTTTATTTAACATAGTAGTCTTCTCTTAAGGTTTTCAAACAATAGAAAATATATTCACTGGTTTCTAGAATTTGCAAGTCTTTTGAATATTTCAAATTCATAACACTGAATTATTTCCATTACATATTGTTTTGAAATCATTGCTTGGATCTTTATTTTAAGGCATGCATTTTGAAAAATTGATCTACTAAGAGTTCTTAATGTAAAATGTTAAGTGCTTTGAATATGATGAAAGCAGACTTATCAACAGGTTAATATTCATTGCCTGAACCAGATGTATTTTGAGTGTCTAATAAATATTGCAAGTTTTAATGCTGAATCCTGATTCATAATAAGGTAGTGCTCTGTGCACTTTTAATTTTAGTTTAGCTAAAATTGTTGGCTCTATATCCTACCTCTTTGGATGATATTAACTTGTTAAGCACAATTAGCCACACAAAAGCCTATTCTGAAAGAGTTAACATAAATTGTATCTCAAGGCTTAGGTTTCCTCAGAATTCTTAACTCTAGGTCAAGCCTGCTGTTTTTAAGACTGAATCTGATTTTCCCGTATGTTGCAATTGATGATGATGATAATGATGACGGAGGAGGAGAGGTGACAGAGACCTCAGCCATCACCATTATTCTCTTTCGTGCTAACATCTGTCAAGCATAGGATTTTCTTAAGAATGAAAAATGATAGTGCCCTGTATTGTGATTCCTTGAGTTCTCATGATTCTATTGTTTATTTGCAAGTGTTCTTGCACCAGAACAATACAAGATCTGTGCTTGAACTATTGATAAGTATTGATCGAGGAGTATGCTGGCAATGTGGTAATGAATCATCTCACTGTGCCATTTCTTTTATATTTGAGTGGGTTGTGAACCAGTGATTTGTACACGGGTACTTTTGTGAGAGATGTAGAAATGTAATTGCTACATTTTTCCAGCAGAGGATAGAGCTTCTATATCTCATCTATGCTTGTGCCAAGACTTCTCTTCCGGAAGAAACAGTGATATTGTTGTACAGTCTATCTCCAGAATTTTTTTTTTTTTGCCTTTTTGGGTCACACCTGGCGATGCTCAGAGGTTACTCCTGGCTCTGCACTCAGGAATTACTCCTGGCGATGTTCAGGGGACCATATGGGATGCTGGGAACTGAACCCGGACCCACTGCCACGTGCAAGGCAAACGCCCTACCCACTGTGCTACCGCTCTAGCCCCAACCTCCAGAACTTTTTTACTGCTTCAAACTAAAACTGTGTTCCCAAGAAACCCTAACTTGCCTTTCCCTCCTTCCCTCAGCTCCTGGAACCACTGTTTTATTTCCTTGAGCTCCACTGTTCAAGGAGCTTCATCTAGGTGGATTCATGCAATATTTGTTCTTTTTGAAATCTGTATCACTTACCATAATGCCTTCAGTCTTCATTCATGTTTTGGATACATTCTTCCATGTAGCCAAATTTTATTCCCTGTGACTAATATTTTCTTGATTTGTTTCTTGCCCTTTCAAGAAACACGTATTTCTTAATGTGTTTGCTTCTTTTTGTGTGTCCATTTATCTGTTGCTGCTTAAGTTGTTTCTATCCTTTGGCTCATCATTGAACCTTCTATGGACATTGGCATACAAATACCTGTTTGAGTTCCTGGTTGTTTTGTTATGGGGTCACACTTGGCATGCTCAAGGGTTACTCCTGGCTCTACACTGAGATGTCACTCTGGGCAGGGCTCAGGAGTTCAAATCCGGGTCGGCTGCATGCAAGACAAATACCTACCAACTGTACTTTAGCTCAGGCCTGTAAGTTTCAGTTTTTAGCTCTTTTATCTGTATACATGTAAGTTGATTTGCTGAATTTTTGTGGTAATTTTCTATTTTGAAAAACTGCATATTCTTTTTAATAATGGCTATACCTTTCTGTATTCGAATCTCTTCACATTCTTTCTAATATTTGATGTTTTCAGGTTTTTTTGTTTTATTTTATTGGTAATAACCTAATGGGTGTGCAGTGCTATTCTTATGATGATTTTGATTTCCTAATCATTAGTGATGTTGAACATCTTTCCATTTTTCTACTGGCTACTTATATATCTTCTTTGATGATAGTCTTTGGCCAATGCTTAAATCAGTTGGTGTTATCATTGTCGAAATTCTTGATCAATTTTAGATATTAATCCCTGAACAAAGTAAATGATGATCCAATATTTTTATTCATTCCCTAGATTGCCTTTTCATTCTCTTGATTCTGTTCTTTGATGTACAGATTTTTAAAAAATTTTTTTATAGAGGACAGTGTTCAGGAACTTGAAGGTCATTGCCAGCCAGATTCATGAGGAAGTGTGGGCCTGATGACTTTGACTCAGCCAAAACAGTGCTTAGGGCCTTCCTGCCCTACCAAGTGCCCTATCTTCTGCACTATTTCTCCTCTCTCCTGCCTTATAGCTTGATAGCACAGCGGGTAGGGCGTTCGCCTTACACGCAGCCAACATGGCCGACCCGAGTTCGATTCCTCCGTCTCCCTCTCGGAGAGCCCGGCAAGCTACCGAGATTCGATATGCCAGACACAGTAACAACAAAGTCTCCAATGGAGACGTTACTGGGCCCGCTCGAGCAAATTGACGATCAACGGGAGGGCCTTTACCTTTACCTTTTACCTTAAGTTTGCATGCTTGATTTAGTTTAAATCATCATTATTATTATTATTGGGCTGGAGCGATAGCACAGCGATAGGGTGTTTGCCTTGCACGTAGCCAACATGGCCGACTCGAGTTCGATTCCTCCACCCCTCTCGGAGAGCCCTGTAAGCTACGCAGGATATCTCGCCCTCACGGCAAAGCCTGGAAAGCTACCTGTGACGTATTCGATATGCCAAACACAGTAACAAGAAGTCTCAAAAAATGGAGACGTTACTGGGTCCGCTCGAGCAAAATCGATGAACAACGGGAGGACAGTGACAGTGATGATGATGATGATGATGATGATGATGATGATGATTTTGGCACCATACTAGCTGTTTTCAGAGCTTATTCCTGGCTTTGCATTCAGGGATAATCCTTGGTGGTGCTTGGGTGACCATTTATGGTATCGGGGATCGAACCCAGGTTTGCATAGAAGGCAAGCCCCCTACCTATTATACTATCTGTCCAGCCCCTACTTTTAGATAATTTTTGAATAATTGAAAGACAAGAGTTCAAGTTCAGTTTTTGGGTGTGTGGAGTCCAGTTTTCCCAGCATTGTTTGTCAAATAGGCCGTCCTTTCCTTGAGTGATTTTTGGCACTTTTACCAAAGAATCTGACCATGTATGCAAAGGTTTTTTTCTAGTTTCGCTGTTCTATTGATGTGTATGTCTTACCTGATGCCATTTCCACACCTTTAGTTACTGTAATCTTATTGTAAGTTTTGAAATGAGAAAGTGTGAGCACCATAATTTTATTCTTTTCAAATTTTTTGGTATTTGGAACCTTTTTAGATCTCATACAATTTTAATATGGAAGTTTTTCTATTTCTTTAAAAATGATATTGATAGGAATTATGTTTTATGTATTGCTTAGGTTAGTATTGTCATCTTAACTTCAGTGCTTTTTCTCTCTAATTTCTCTAAACTATTAGCTTTCAAATTTTCTTCTTTTTTTCTTTAGTGAAGCAAGGTAGGGTTTTTTGTTTGTTTGTTTGTTTGTTTGTTTATTGAAAGGTATTGAGAAAAATTGAGAGAGGAGGGAAAAAGGAGAAATATGTTCAAGAGAGAAAACAGGCAGCAAAGAAACAGAGAGACCAGCCAAGTGTGATATGTGTCAAGGGAGAACACAGGCTTGATGAGCAAGCCCAAATTTTTTTAAAGTTTGAGCTTCTCTTTAATTATGTAGGGAATACAGGCACATCTTAGTCTTTTGAACCTGAAAACATGAGAGAAATCTCCTTGGCTACTTTGCTTGCATTCAGCAGTTTTATCGAGTTAATTTTTCCAGAAAAAATTATACTCTGTTCCATTGATTTATTCAAGATTATGGTAAAGATTCTATATTACCATTTAATCCATTGGATTTTATTTTGTACCATTCATTATATATTTAATTCACATGTGCTCACTAAGGAGTTTGGATGTTATTGACACACTCAGTAAACTTCCACTTACAGAGAAACAAGGCATACACACAAAATCATGAGAAAACTATGTAACCATGCTGATTGTTACTTATCAAAATAAAGCAAATGAATGATTTCATAAGTGTTGAAAGGAAATTATTATGGCCTTCAGATAACACTGGTGTTTTAAGGAAAGAAGTTTTATTGTGAGGTCAACTTTGACATAGGGGACAAAATTTAAAAAACAGGAAGTCATTCTCAGTAGGGGACAAAATAAGTGGATGTTTAAACTTTGATAAATATTTGTTCTGGGAACAGTGCATAAAAACCAACTTGATTCAAACCAATTAATTTCAATTTATTGTGGAAATAGTGTCTATAATTTTTTTTTCTTTTTTGGGTTAGGATCTCAGGAATTACCTCCTGGTGGTGCTTGGGCCCCCATATGGAATACCAGGGATTGAATTCAGTTTGGCTGTATGCAAGGCCGAACACCATACCTACTGTACTATCGCTCCAGTCCCAGTATATGTAATTTTTTTTCAGTATGTAATTTTTATTGACACAGTTCAGCCTCTGGCTTCTAGAGCACTGATAATTTTGTATATAACCCTAAAGCAATGTAGAGATTGACTTTTTAGCGGGGTTTGAGCAAGAGGAAAGTTAGGAATTTTTTGTTTTGTTTTGGGGTTATACCCAGCAGTGCTCAGGACTTAGTCCTGGCTCTGCACTCAGGTATCACTCCTGGCGGTGCTCGGGGAACCATATGGGATGCCAAAGATCAAACCTAGTTTGGCCTTATACAAGGGAAGCACTCTACCTGCAGTACAGTCTCTCTGGTCCAATTTTAGAAAATTTTATCTGGAAGCATTGTGTGATCGCTTTTATATTGAATATGAATTCTCACCATTGAGTATATGTAATTTTATAGTATGTTTTCATTAATATGGATGTGTTTTTATTTTTTATTTTTTATGTAGGAGTACTGCTATTTATTCAGCCACTGATTAGGCTGATTGAATTGTGCATGAACTCCACTGGATGTGTTTATAAAGGTATAGGAATGTGGTGCACAGTACATCACAAAATTCACCTTGTTTTCATGTCTTATATGTTGACACATTTATTGAGGAGATTTCTCATTTCTCTACTGTGAAAGAAAAATATTTGTGATTTTTTATATATTATATTTGAAAGACTTTACAATAGAGAAACTTATGGCTGTTTTTGTGGAAATGAAAATGAATTTTCATTTTTTTTGTATAAGCTAATGATTTCAATCTGTTTGGCTTCTTAAAATGTTTTATGATAGACTTAGAATGTTAATATTTAGAGACAAGAAAGCTTTGGCCTATTTTAATAAAGCTTTTAATTGTGTGTCTGCAAAGCAGATTAACATTTTTTTAGCTCTAAGAAAGTACAACTAAACTTTATTTAGGGCATTCTGCATTAATATGATTCTATGTCATATTTCTCAGGCTAAGTAAAGTATAATAGTTGCCTTAATAGAAATAAATCAAAGTTCTTAGTTCATAATAATATATGAATCATAATAAAAAATGGGATTTTACTGGAAATGTTTAACTTTTCAAAGTTTTTAGAATGTCTGCTTTAATGCTTTAGGGATTCAGTAAATGCCAGAAAACACAAACAGTTGAAACTTTCTTGGACTTCCTTCATTTCATTAGTAATGGAAATAATGCTTCTTAAATTTGGGTATTTTTATAAAAACGTACCTTTTACTGACTCTCTAGTATCAACTACAAGGATTTTGTAATGGTGTTTAAATGCTTTTCATATTACTTTGACTCGAACTTACAAATTCAGTCTTACTTTTTTTTTTTACATCACTTGCTTAAAACTTAAAATTCACATTAATGTTAAGAAATATCTATGCTTTACAACAAAACGGGAGACTAACACTCAGGAGTGGCTGAGATTAGTACCAGGAATTTTGCTCCATGACTTGGAGGCCAGCCACACGTGCTAGGGGAAAAAGAAGCTCAGATAGAGAAGAGAGCACCGAATAAAGGGTGTTGGGAGGATCCTCCCAGGGTGGGAGAAGCATGCTGATAGTAGACGATAGACCAAACATGATTGCCACTCAATGCCTCTCTTGCAAAACGAGGACCCAAAAGAAGAGAGAGAGAACAAGGGGGAATGCCCTGCCACAGAGGCAAGGTGGGATGGGGGGAATGGGGGGTGGGAGGGATACTGGGACCCGTGGTGGTGGAGGATGGGTGCTGGTGGAAGGATGGGTACTTGATCATTGTATAACTGAAACCCAAGCACAAAAATTTGTAAGTCTATAACTGTACCTCGTGGTGTTCCACTGATAAAAAAAAAAAAAAGAAGAAATAAAAAAAAGAAAAAAGAACTATCTATGCTTTAGATATTGTTGAAACTGGTTATAAGTGTGTATAAGTTTTATCTTTTTATGTTGCATTGATAGTAGTTAAAAGTATGACCCTATGGGCAATCTTTTTAAGCAGATAAAACTGTTGGGGTGCTTTCCGAGGGCGATGGGGTTGCCTTCCAGACGTATCTCTTCAATGCGATCCCGGATATAGCGAGTGTCATTAGCCTTGCAGAATGTATCATCTGTAATTGAAGTTATGTCATTAAACTGGAAAATAAAAGAGAAAAATGGTTCAGAGATATTAAATTATCTTTCTGTGTTATCTAAAGATATCTTTCAGAATATTTTGTCCCCACACTAACTTTCTATTTTTTTCCTTCTACTTTATTTAAACACCATGGTTTACAGAATTGTTCATGATGATTTGTTGCAGGCATTCAATATTCCAACACTAATCCCACCACCACAGTCACCTTCCCTCCACCATTGTCTCCATTTTCCCCAATCACTTCTCAATCCTGCCCCTGTAGCAGGCTGACAATAATTTATTTTATATTGCTTGTTGTACCACTAAATGGCTAATAGAATGGTTAAGGAATGTTCCCACAGAGGAAAATTTATGAAAACTGTCGTATCTCACATTGGGGACATTAAGTTCGTATCTCAGAGTTTACAATAAGCTGTTGTTGCAAGTTAGCTTTCTGTGTTAATGTTTTTGTTAGTGAAGATTGGTTTCTATGTTTGTTATATGACATCCAGCAAGAGCAGCCACGCACTCCTGGAATTCCAAAATTTTAAATAATTAAGGTATGAAGAGATCTCTGCAGTGAACTGCTCAGTTCCTAGATTCTTTTGTATGTTCCTGGATAATGACTGTTAAGGAGCTTAAATAGTAGCTGGGAGCAGTTTGTGGGAGTAATCTCATGGGGGACTAATTCATTCCTTATCTCATAGGGCCTGGCATTTGCCCAGCCGTACCTGGGCTTCTCATTGGGTTCTGGAAGATGGCGGCCACCAGGATTCCTGGGAGGCAGGTGGAGGGACAGCACCTGCTCCCGTCTGGAATAGCCCAGTGAACTCAGCCTGTTCCGAGGCATCTCTGCAGCGAGCTGCTCAGTTCCAAGATTCTTTTTTGTATTGAAAATCCATAATTCTTAGTTGGGCAGTTCAGTGCAGTTAAATTCTTTTTTAAACATGCACATTTATTTTTTTTTGTTTTTTGGGTTTTTTTTTTTTTTGCTTTTTGGGTCACACCTGGCAATGCACAGGGGTTACTCCTGGCTCATGCAACTCGGGAATTATCCCTGGCGGTGGCCGGGGGGCCATATGGGATGCTGGGAATTGAACCTGGGTCAGCTACATGCAAGGAAAACGCCCTCCCCACTGTGCTATCGCTCCAGCCCTCAGTTAAATTATTAACTAGGAGGTGGCTTTGGGGTGTAGTTTGTTTAAGTGGGAACTTGCCTGCCTCCATCTGAGAGCACCCCAGAGGTCTCAGCTAGCAATGGATGTCCGAGAAATTTTTGAGGCTCAGTGATCTCTTTTGAAATTTATTTATGAGTCTCTTGAACAATGCCAGTAGATGAACTTACCTGGTAGTGGATTGTGGGCTTGGCTGCCAGGACTTCTAGAAGTACAAGAAGATGGGGAGAGGCTGCCCATCCCACCTCTGAGAAGGTCTGGAGTTTTCAGCCACTAGAACTCACCCGCACTAACCTTTTAATATTGTATATAATGTGCATAGTGGTAATAAAGTCATTTCTGTGGAAATGAGCCCTTTTTAAATCTACAGTGTTACTTGAAAAAACAGGCCATTCATATAAGGAAAACACCTTAACTACTGTTCTATGGCTCCAGGTCTCAACCGGCTATTCATGTTACTACTTAGTAATATCACATAGAAGTTCTTTTTTTAGAAGCCAATTTATTTTATTTATTTCTTTTTCTTTTTTGGGTCACACCCAGTAATGCTCAGGGGTTACTCCTGGCTTTGCACTCATGAATTACTCCTGGTGGTGCTTGGGGGGACCACCTGGGATGCCAGGGATCGAACCCGGGTCAGCCGCATGCAAGGCAAACACCCTACCCGCTGTGCTATCGCTCCGGCCCAGAAGTTCTTATATAAATAAGATTATATAAGATTAAATAAGCTAGAAAAAGTATACTTTTTATTATCTGTTTTATTTTATTGGCTTTGGGGCCACACCTGAAAATGCTCTCCCTGCTGTACTGTTTCAGTGTCCACTCAAAAAGTCACTGACTTCCTTATTTACTTATTTTTAGCTTTTGGATCAAATCTGGTGATACTCAGGATTCATTCACTCTTGGCTCTGCACTCAGGAATTACTCCTGACAATACTTGGGGACTCTTACGGGATGCCAGGGGTTGAACCTGGGTTGGGCATATGCAAGACAATCACCTTACCTACTGTACTATTTCTCCAGCCCTTAGGTACTCTTTTATGTAAGTCAGAGCATGAGAATTCTTGTGATACTGAGAGATGGATTTTTAAAAAAAAAATTTATTAGTGAGACACCATGAGGTACAGTTGTAGACTTACAAATTTTGGGCTTGGGTTTCAATTATACAATGATCAAATACCCATCCCTCCACCAGTGCCCATTTTTCCTTTTTAGTTGATGTTGGACCATAAAGTCAGCTGAGAAAAAAAAAAAAACTCTTAAAGCAACTTTTCTAGCTATTTGGAGAATGAACTATAAATGAGAGATTTTACTATTGCACGACTTCAAATCATATTGTCAGATTAATAAGCCGAATGTCCTATGGTTACAGGGAACAAATCCCACCTCAGAGCAGTCCTCACCCCTGGTGCTGCTAGTGTTCTTAACAGAGTCCCGACCTCAGGGCAACATTGGGCTAGTACCAACTACTGATACACATTTACAGTTAAACCTAAATTTGCATCTGAGTAATGGGTTTTCTAATGAGTCAGAAGAGGCTCTAACAGATGGTAGGGAGCAGGCTGGGAAAGTGGTAGTGAACAGGATGGTGCCTGCGAGCAGTGTGGAGTGATGATTGGTACTGGATGGTGAGCATTGTAGCATTGTATGTCAAAAGCACATCGAAAACCACCTTTACTGTAATTAAAAAGAAAAAATAAGATTGTCTCTTAGATCATCTAAATGAAAGTTATTGCGAAAGGAGCAATCATACCTGAAGATGAATCACACGAAGACTTTCTGGTAAATTAGGAGGTACAGACTCTAGGTCATTGTGGTCCAAGTAGAGGTAGGAGAGGTTATTCAGTTTCTGTCAGGAGAAAACATTTCGCTTGAGAACTGTTGAAGTCTGTGCATTTTTTCCTCACAGGATTCAAGTTACTTATACACAAATGTCTACAAATGTATAAATAGATCGTAAAGACATCTGATAAGTTGTATATTTTGGTCTGAACTCTGCTAACCCACAAATCTATCAACTCATCTGCCTCAGCTCTGTGCCAGCTTCTGAGACTTATTTTGCAAGAGCTTTTGAGGCCAGTCTATGTACTGGGTTAAATTTGAACCCTAAAAATGCCATAACATCTATTGGACCCTCAAAACTTTCTGTCAGCCCCACCAGTTTCTTACAGAATGAGTACTTCTACGAAATGTGCATGTTCATTAAAAAGATGCTTCTCAAAGCAATTTCTTTACTATTTAGCTAAATATGACATAGAATCTTTTCAAGGCAGAATGCCCTAAATGAAGCTTAGTTGTACTTTCTTAGAGCTATAAAAAGTTATTCTGGGGCTGGAGCAATAGCAAAGCGGGTAGGGCGTTTGCCTTGCACGCGGCCAACATGGCTGACACAGGTTCGATTCCCAGCATCCCATATGGTCCCCTGAGCACCGCCAGGGGTAATTCCTGAGCACAGAGCCAGGAGAAACTCCTGTGCATTGCCGGGTGTGACCCAAAAAGCAAAAAAAAAAAAAAAAAAAAAAAAAGTTATTCTGCGTTGCAGACACAGAGTTAAGAGCTTTATTAAAATAGGCCAAAACATTCTTGACTCTAAATATTAATATTCTAAGTCTATCACAAAGCAGCTGGGTTTATTTTTTCTGTACTAAATCCCCTCTATACAGTGTTTTTAGATGTTGCTTTTGTAAAATGTTGGTTAGCTTCTGTTGGTTTTGAACATGCCAGTTTTTCAAAAGCTAACTGACATCAATTATCTTAAAATTACAGGTGTTTGAGTTTGTTTTAAATATATATATATATCTTTTATTTTTATTTAGGGGCTTGTAGGACATGGACTTACCTAGCAGTGCTCAAGGGTTACTCCAAGCTCATGGGCTTGAGAGGTCACTCCCAGTGATGATCCATCCCTTTATGCTGTTTCCCTGACCCTGAGTCCAAATTTTTAGTTTAGTTTTGCTTTTTGAACCACTCCTATACATACTCAAGATTTACTTCTGTCCTGCACTCAGAGATCACTCCTGGTTGGCCTCAGGGAATCATATATGATGCCTGCCCTCAGCCCTTGTTGGCCATGGGCAAGGACTGAACTCTCTCCAGCCTCTTGAATTCAGCTCTTAAAAGTCATTTTTGAGTGACTTGACTTGTGTGGCACTCTGATGTGCTCTACAATGTATCATGAAGTTGAAAAAGAATTTGTTAAATACTGGGGAAAAGGGGGAAAAAGAGGTAAAATCTTTGATATATTCTGAATAGATTATCTGTAGACTTTTGTGTGACTGGTTTTGTGATAATAAGTATTTGAGAATTTAAGCACCTCTATTGAGATTATTTAAAGCCACAAATTCTTATTGAATGAGATAGTTTGTGACTAGTGGCATGAGGGTTTCATCCCATTGACGTGGGATTCCTTCCAGATCTGGAAGTACATGTATCAGAGCTATGACAGTCCTGGACTGAGGTATTCACTTCTCTGTTCATGAATTTTGACAACCATACTACTAGATCTAAGCCAATCACCTTCCCATTTACATAATATTTCTTTGAGTTACTAAATTAAGAAATTCATTTCAGGACGAGAGTTATAGTACCATGGATAAGGTGTTTGCCTTGCATGTGGCCAACCCTGCTTCAATCCCTGACAGCACATTTCCCCGAGCAGCAACTCAACTGCAGGTCCCAGCATTGAACCTCCAGCTCAGTTGGCAGAGAATCATGGGGAGGAACCCCTGGTCCTCCCGAACTGCTGGGGAGCATCTCCCTCCTACCAAAAAGACAAAAGCAAAAAAAATTTATTTTCATTTAGCTACATAGAATTTTATATTAGTGCCTTCATGGAATTTAAAACTAAGTCTTCCCGTAGAATTTTTTAGTGCTTTTCAATATTAAGAGTGAGATATAGCATTTATCTTTTAGAGTTTTTAATTCCTGTATCTGTAATTATTGTTATAAGGAAAAGATACACAGGAAACGTCCCATTTTGAAGTTATGTAGACTCCTGGTGCCACAAGGGTGTAAACTAGGTTTGTATGTGTAACTGTTTAACAGTTGAAAATGATTACTCCATGTGACCCTCTGAGGTAGGATAAAGTGTCTCGTAAGTGAGGTACAGGCGTAACTCAGACTCATGAGCCTAGAATGTGGCTGTTCTGCTTACCTAACGTTTAAGTGAAATGGTTTGAAAGCATGCAGTTCTAGACCAGAATTTCTTCTTTTGGTGTGAGAGGGTGGAGTGCTAGTGAAGGGTTTCTGGGTCTCATACATGTGAAGGACTCTGGGTCTTACATAAAAGCTTGCACTTGATGACACGACTGCAGCTCCAGCCTCTCTCTCTCTCTCTCTCTCTCTCTCTCTCTCTCTCTCTCTCTCTCTCTCTAACTCATTAGCCATCTACCTCTGATATTCTATTGAATCCTACCTTGAAATACTTACTTTGAATGTGTTTGCTTTGATCCCTTTACTTTCGATTCTGTTGTACTTTGCGTTAAATAAAGTAAGCTTGGGAGGAAGAACTGGAAGTCTCAATAGTAGGTTTTCAGCTAGTGTCAGTTCTTCTAAGAGAGCAAGTTGTGAGAAAGTATTGTCTTCTATATCTTCAATCAGGTTTCCCGTAAAATCCATTCTTCTTAAGTTAGCTTGAAGGAAGAATATACAAGTCATTTGAATTTAAAACCACACTTGTGTGGATTGAAGAAAAAAGCATTTAACAGGTCTTACAAGCACCTTTTATTTTCAGTCCCTAGGAGTGCCTCTAACTAATGATTTGTTTAGCTTTGTTGAGTGAATGTTGAACTTTTAATCTGGTTGGGCCCAGATGGCCTTTTTCAGGGACCTAGAATGCCAGGTTTAAAAAGAAGCTTAAAGTTGGGATAGGTCTTCCATCCTTCCCTGTTTAAATTTTCATGATATTCAGACATGTTAAGAGAATCCTTGTAGAAAAATAAAGATTACATTTGATTAAATAGAGCCAGGTAAATATTTTTAGGTTTTTTATCAACATCTTGCATTGTGATTGTGAGTGTGTTATTTTAATCACTTAGTAGCTTGTGTGTATGTTTGCATGCGCTTTGGTGTGTCTGGGGTGATTAGAAAGTAGATACTTCTCATTATTCAAGGTTGTTTCATATATATATATATATATATATATATTTATGTGAAGTCACCACAGACATTGAATTAGTGAATATAGAACCAGTGATTCTGGAGGAATTACAGGGTTACACATTTCTTATCAACCAATCAACCATAATTTCATGTGTATTTATTTTAGTTTAAATATTTTATGCTTCACAGGATTTATTCCATATGTTTCTGGATCTTTGTTTTTAATATAGTTAGAAGAGGGTTTTTTTTTCCTTTTTTTTCTTGCTTTGTTTGATTTTTGGTTTGGGGACCACACCCAACTGTGCGCAGGGCTTACTCCTGGCTCTGCACTCAGAAAACATTCCTGAAAGGGCTGGGAGTCTATATAGGGTGCCCAGTATAGGACCCAGATTGGCTGTATGCAAGACAAGTGTCCTGTACACTGTACTATCTCTCTGACCCCTTGAAATTTCTTTCTTTTCTTTTCTCTTCTATACTTTATTTATTTTTATTTATTTATTTTTTTTGTTTGTGTGGGGGGGCCAAGGTCACACCTGGCAGTGTTCAGAGGTCACACCTGGTAGTTTTCAGGGGATCATATGGAATGCCAGGGATCGAACCCAGGTCAGTTCTGTGCAAGGTAAACATCCTACCTTCTGTACTGTCATTCTAGCCTTCGTAATTTCTTTCTATAGGCACTTTTGCATTCATATTAAACTCACAACCAGTATTATTTTAGTTTATACTTGAAGATTAACCTAACACTGTCTTTTTGATTTGGGGTTTTCTTGTTTTGGTACCGGGACTCAAACCCAGGTCCTCACATATGCAGATCAAGTGCTGTACTGCTGATCAGCATCCTCAGCTCCTAACACATGCATTTTCTCTTTAAGGCAAATACCATCATTTTGCACTTAGAAGTTCTAAACAGCACATCACCACTGTGTTGAAGCAAGAGTTAAAAGAGAAAAAGCAAAAGTAACAAATAGCACAAGATGTGAAATATGTGCTGTTGACTAGAATGAAGAGGAAAAGCTGAATCAAAGGGCAGGGTGTCACCTTGTACCACCTCAACTAGCAACTCAAATTTCTGGCCACTGTCCATGTCTCAGAATGAGTGCAAAAGTGCTGTTTTAATCTGGGGGTTACAAATAGATATTCACAAGTAGGGGAGTTTGAAAAGTTGGAAACCAATATGAGGAACAATTGTATTTCAATAAATTGGAAGCTTCCAGTGGCAGCATGATTCCAGTTAGAGTGAAATTTTCTAATCTTTAGAAGCACTGGACATCATAGGAACCTAGAAATTTTATAAGAGATTGGTGACCCAACAACTGGGACTAGGCACTGAAGGAGATTTTGGTATGCTTGTGCTTCACCCTTGTGGCTTACTATTGTAGATTGATAGGAAATCCAGTGCCATAGCTTGTTGATGACCTGGAAGGAATTAAACACTTCTGTTATTAAAAGAGTTTCATATTCAGCTCATCTGAGAAGCTTGCTGATGTTTAATGCCAATGCATAGACTTCTTCCCTGACCTAACTTAGAACCATATGCATGAGGGCCTGGTATAATAAGGATTTTAAAAATACTTTACCAGGGGTCTGGAGTGTTAGCATAGCTGATAGGGCATTTGCCTTGCACACAACTGACCTGGGTTTCGTCCACGTTATACCATATGGTCCCCCATGCACCATCAGGAGTGACCCCTGAACACAAGAGTCAGCAGTAACCTCTTTAGCGTTGTTGGATGTGCCCAAAAGCCAAACAAAGTTAAAAAAAACTTTCCCAGATTGTTTTAATATGTTTCCATGTTTATGAACCCTGATTAATGGTCATTAGGCCTGTGAACTGAGGATAGTAAGGAGGACAAAGGGGAGAGGTCTTTGAGACAAAGGAGGAGAAATCTAGTATTGTGGTTGGCATGGTGTAACAGCTCTGTAAGCATAAAACAATAGAATTAATGATTATTGTAAACTTTGGTATCTCAATAAAATCTGAGATACAAAAAGTTCACAATAGCAAATATAGGGGCAAAAGACCTATGAGCAGAGTGAAGAAGAGCAGTTTCTGTATTGTATAATGAATGTAGAAAATGAAGCACTTGCTTCGCAAAGCATCTAAGTTGTATTGTGCACCTGACCAACGACTTCAAATGGCCTTGAAGTATCAGGACTGCGAGACCTCGTTGCTTTTCTGTTAGGCTGTCAACATAAGACAACAAAATGACCAGTATAGAAGAATGATCGTGAATTTCTGTAAAGTTGGTGGACAATAAATATCCCAGCAGTGACTACCTTAGATACGATATGGCACTAATACCTGGAAGCGTGTGTTTCTGTGAGTGAAGTACTAACATAAATTAATACTTTTATATTAGTTAGTATTTACTTACGTATATCTGCGAAATCTTTGGCAGTCAGTTTCTTAATTTTGTTGAACCGTGCATAAAGATAGGCTGATTCCTTTGGCAAGGGTGGTACAGCATCAATATCAATCTCTTCACAATATACAGAGCCACTTAGGCAAACACACAATAGGCATGTGGGCATTTCTAAATTTGGAAACAAAATTAAATTTTATATACACAATACACACACTTTTTTTCTTAATTATTGAGGTACTGTGACAACACTAATAGTGATGGTTTCCTGTATCCATAATCCAACGTCACACCCGTTATCAGTGCACCCACCTTCCTTCCCCAAAAGCCCCAGTGTCCCTCTCTTTTACACATTCCTCCTCAACTCAGTTCTCTTGATCAGTCCGGTTGCCTTTAATCTTTGTTCCTACCTTGCTGTGTATCTTTAAGTCCTACAGATGAGAGAGATTATTGCACATCCATTCCTCTCCTTCCAACTGATGACACTCAGTTTTATAACTTTTAGGTTCCCCCCATGTCACAGCAAATTGCATGGTACAAAATTAAACGATAACTAGTAGCTGAAAAGCATTTGGCCTCCACACTGTAAGAGTGCTCTTCTTGGCCCTAGTGGCCCCCCAGCACCACTGGACCCAAATGATAGCCTAATACTGCATTGCTGACCTGAGCGCCAAACCAGGCATGTGTATTACTGGGAGTGACCTTCAAAAAAATATCTGACTTCCAGTGGTAAAATTGTTGCTGTTGTGAGTTTTATTTTATTTAGTTATTTATTTCTTTTGGGGTCATACCCTGCGATGCACGGGGGTTACTCCTGGCTCATGCACTCAGGAATTACTCTTGGCGGTGCTCGGGGGACCCTATGGGATGCTGGAAATCGAACCCGGGTCGGCTGAGTGCAAGGCAAATGCCCTACCCGCTGTGCTTTTGCTCCAGCCCTGTGAGTTTTATTAGCACTGTCTGTAGCACTGTCCTCCCATTGTTCATCGATTTGCTCAAACAGGCCCAGTAACGTCCCCATTGTGAGACTTGATGTTACTGTGTTTGGCATATCGAATATGTCACAGGTAGCTTGCCAGGCTTTGCTGTGCGAGCGGTAGCTTGCCGGGCTCTCCGAGAGAGGCAGAGGAATCGAACCTGGCTTGCCCAGGCCAGCCGCGCACAAGGCAAACGCCCTACCGCTGTGCTATTGCTCCAGTTTTATTATTGATTTGACAATGAATTTTATAGATCATCAGGTGACAACATGAAAGATAGGTCCTGATAGGTCATGTCTATGGCATAACTGTTGAGCCACCAGAGTTGATTTTAGATTCTGTATTACACAGTATTATATTATCTATTCATTTCAACAGTGATCACTTAATGCTGATCGTTATATATCCTCGTTTGAATGCCAAAAAATTCCACAAAGCAGGAGTTCAGGTAAGCAGGAGCCCAATTTATCACTTGGTGCATGAGCCGCATATTTCTGATAGCCTCTGAGCTTAGTGACCACTGGTAAGTAAGCCGACTACTAACTTCAAAATTAGAATAATCACAAGCAAGGTCAGCTCTTGCTCTACCCTCTATTCCGCACTGCATTTGCGTGTCATGCCGCTTTCATCTCCTTTCACCAGGATGAATACCCTACTCTCTATTTTTTGGTATGTTTTTCTCTTCTCTTGAAAAAATTCAAATTAAAAACAGAAAGCCTTATTTTTCAGGGCATGTATTTGGAGGGTGTCTTTCAGCTGAGTGTGTCTGAGAGTCCTTATCTGGGGCAGGAGCCATGTGGGTGTCATACTGCTTCCTCGTTGCTTTGCATCTGTTCTACTCTATGAGGCTGGCTGGCCATTTGGTTTGAGGTGTCACCTATGTTTCTCATTCTGTAAAGTTCCTTTTTTTAAAAAATTAAATTTTATAACTTAATTTTTATTAATTTTTTTATTAAAGCACTATCGTATTTGTGTTTATTCTACCATCATGACAGAACTTTATAAGAAATCTTGTAACGTTTTTATAATTCTACCTAGTGCAATTCTCTCGCCCTTCCTGTCCCCCCCCCCCCACACACACACATTTCCTATCTCCTTTGTATCTTTGGTTCCGTCTATAATCTCTCGTTTTTTTAGTTACTCATTTTTATTTCTTTTCACAAAAACAGGTAGCAGTATGCATAATCTCTAATATCCTCTTTTTTAGTGAAAGGCATCATACAGTACTCTTTAGCATTTCAACTTTTTTAATATATATTTTGGAAACCTCTTCATGTTAGTTTACAGAGATCTTCCTCATTTATTTTTTACAAACGTGTAATTCCCCTCTTGTGGATGTAATGTAAGATATTCAAGTACTCTTCAATTGTGTCTAATGGTTTACAGTATCCTGCACCTGCAAGCAGTGCTTCAGTGATTTTGCATATTTTGTTTGTTTTCAGTCATACCTGACATTGCTTAGAGCTTCTCCTGACTATGCTCAGGCATCACTCCTAGTGGGGCCCAGGGAACCATACGTGGTACTGGGGATTGAACCCATGTTAGCCAGGTTGCAAGGCAACCACTCTCATCAGCATATGTATTTTCTTTCTTGTTGAGTTATATTTTTAGGATAAATTCCTAGAAAATTTATTTTATTTTGTTTTTTTTTTTTGCTTTTTGGGTCACACCTGGCGATGCTCAGGGGTTACTTCTGGCTCTTCCCTCAAGAATTACTCCTGGCAGTGCTCAGGGGGACCTGTATGGGATGCCGGGGATCAAACTTGGGTTGGCCATGTGCAAGGCAAATGCCATACCTGCTGTACTATCACTCCGACCCCAAATTCTAGAAATTGATGGCAATTTCACAAAGCAAATGAATATCTGTTAGATATTAGCAAATATTTATCAAAAAGTGTTGTACTGTCCTAGAGAGAGAGTACAGGAAGTAAGGCACTTACTTTACATGCAGCTCATCCTGGTTCCAACCCCTGGTACCATATCAGTTCCCAAAGTCACCATCAGGAGTCACTTCTGAGCATAGAGCCAGGACTAGCTTCTGAGCACCACTGGATATGGACCACCATCCCCCCAATCAAAAAATAGTATTGTATCAATCTACATTCCTACCAGCAGTGAATGTATCTAATATACTACAATCCTACCAATAAAATCTATTAGTATATTGCCACTCTTAAATGTAGTCAAGAGTTTAAAATGCTATCAATAGAATTAATTTTATTATTAATAATTTTTATTTTGCATCAGATATAAACGGTAATGGTGGAGTACCACTTTGCCAGAGTTTGACCCCAGGACCCGGAACATGAAGCTTATGCTGTATGCTACATAAGCCACATCTTGCACCCTCAGTGGAAATTCCATTTACTTGTCTCAGTGTGAGATTCAGCATTTGTTCATATTTAACTTTCATCTTTATAGGGGTCAGAGTAATAGTACAGCAGGAAAGGCATTTGCCTTGCATGCAGCTGACCTGGGTTCTATCGCCAGCACCTCACATGGTCCCTTGAGTACTGTCAGGAGTTATTCCTGAGCATAGAGCCAGGAGTAAGCCCTGAGCACAGCTGGGTATGGCCCCAAACCAAAATTAATAAACATTTTTTTCATTCACGAATTGTCACTATCACTGTCACTGTCCTCCCGTTGTTCATCGATTTGCTCAAGCGGGCTCAGTAACGTCTTCATTTTGAGACTTGTTACTGTGTTTGGCATATTGGATACTTCACGGGTAGATTGCCAGGCTTTTGCCATGTGAGCGAGATAGTCTTAGGTAGCTTGCCCGGCTCTCTGAGGGGGGCGGAGGAATCAAACCCGACTTGGCTGGGTTGGCAGCGCGCAAGGCAAACACCCTACCGCTGTGCTATCTTTATATTATTTCGTGAATTGTCTGTTCATATCTTTTGCCTAGTTTTCCACTGAATTTTTTTTGTCAGTTTTTCTTGAGTTTTCACATTATGTGAAAGAGTCTTAGCTCTTATCACTGATATATGGTGCAAATATTTTTCTCTATTTTCACTTGACTTTGACTTCATGGTTTTTACTACAAAAAATTTCACACTGGCTGGAAGATCTTTCAACAGGCTGAGCGTGTGCTTTGCATGGGGGAGGCCTGGCTACTGCCCACAGCCCACTGGGAGCGACCCCTGAGCACAGAAGTGGCTCTGGCCCTGCACACTGCTGGGTGTGGGCTGCAAATGAAACCAAGCAAAATGTTTTGTGTCATGTCGTAGAAATGAGCCATGTTTTCTGTTATTGTCTCTGGATTTTGAGGCTTTCCTTGCTCAGGTTCTCACCTAGTGTTGCATAGCTTTTACTTCTGCATTAATATCCTAACCTGGAGCTTATTTTTATGAGTAAGGTAGAGTTCTGAGTGTGTTAAGTGTAAGTGTGTTTTTCACTTACCTGCCTGGTTGTGTGCGTATTGTGTAGTTTTTACTTCAGCGATTTAAGGCTGATCTCACTAAATCTCCATGTGTATTTGTGTTTCTAAACTTTTATTCTATTTATATACCAGTATGACACTTTTGGGAGGAGGAGAGTAGAGCTAGCTATACTCTTGACTTTGTGCTCAGGGGTCTCTCCTGGTGGTACTGGGAAACCATATACTAGTGCTTGGGAATTGAACCAGTCTTGGCTATAAACAAGGCAAAAGCCTCTACCCTCTATTCTTTCTCCAGCCCATAGTATCACCCTTAATTAAAAAAAAAAGTATAGTCTTTTCTGTATGTCCTAACATACAGTGTGTCTGATTTCTTCAGATATGTCACTATCCTCTGTCCATTCATGCTTGATTGCTTTTTCACATGAACGTATGTTATATATTTTTAAAATAAGCTTATTGTTTTCATTTTAGGAAGAACTGACACCTTTATGATATTAAATTATCATTTCCAAAAGCTCGGGTCGGCCATGTTGGCTGCGTGCAAGGCAAACGCCCTACTGCTGTGCTATCGCTCCAAAGCTCAGCCATAGAGGCTAGAGTGATAACACAGTGGTAGGGCATTTGCCTTGCGTGCAGCCAGCCCGGCCAAGCCGGGTTCGATTCCTCCGCCCCTCTTGGAGAACCTGGCAAGCTACCAAGAGTATTCAGTATGCCAAACACAGTAACAAGAAGTCTCACAATGGAGATGTTACTGGGCCCGCTCGAGCAAATTGATGAACAATGGGAGGGCATGATTCCATGATTCCATTCCAAAAGCTCAGCATGTCTTTCCATTTAAGTCTGTTTTCACTGTGTTTTTCCATTTTTTTAAAGTTGTATTTGTTTCATTTTAGTTTTATTGTAGCAATGTAGAAATTAGCATATTATGGTTTTCATGTTGTCATCTGAAATGATATTCTATGAAAGAGCAAGAAAATACCAAATAGGAACTATTAATTGGGATTTTATTGTTTATTATTTTATCATGTTTATTATTTTAATTGATGTGTACATTATTTTTATGTATATGGTTGTCTCCTGTGAATTTCTTGAAAGCAAGAATTACAATATGTCTCTTATTTTTATACACTACATAGTATTATTGTTTAATAGCCATTTCTTGAATTGGTTTCATATAATTAGAAACATACTTTGTAGAGATTAAACATGGAGAAAACTGGTTGATCTTGAATATTACTATTTCATATTTCTCGTAGGGTGGGACAGCAAATTGCACCCCCCAGCCCCAATATGTCTGTTGGACTATATCATTGAAGATAAATTCCATATTGGATTTTCTATACTTGAGGCAGGGTTACTATAAGGAATAAAGTTTAGTTTCACACTTACCATCAGTTTCTTTCTTGGGGTTTAATGGCATACTGCTATCATCTTTTTGTAATTGAAGACTTTTCTCATCAGTTATCATCATAGTTTCTTTTTCCTATTGGAAAAATAAAAATTTTACTATCATGTATGATAAAACTTAATTTTTGAACTGTAAAACTGGGGAATTATAGACATCTGTCTTCTCATAGTTACAATTATGTTTTCTTTATGTTCCATAAGATTTTTTGGCTTTGTTTTTGAAACACAATCATTTGTGCTTAGGGATCACCCCTTGCAGGTGTTTGAGGGGCCATTTATGCCATGCCAGGGATCAAACGGGAGTCAGCTGTATGCAAGACACTCACCTTAACCCCCGTACTATCTTTCTAGCCCTCTAGTAGGATTTTGTATTCAGTTCCATGTTATCATTCTTATATTATAGGTACTGGGGCAGTGGCAGATCACTTGCCTTGCATATTTGAGACCCTGGGTTTGATTCTCAGCCCCACATGATCCTCCAAGTACTACAAATAATGTTCCCTGAGCACTAATCCTGGAGTAGCTGCTGCCAGGTGTAGCCTTAAAACTAATTACATAAATACATTCTAATGTAAATATTTGTTTAACTTGTATCCACTCCAGATTATGAGCTCCTTTAAAAAAATTCTTTTAGAAACTTTGGTACATCTACACAATGGAGTACTATGTAGCTGTTAGAAAAGATAAGTCATGAATTTTACATACAAGTGGTACCACATGGAAAGTATCATGCTAAGCGAAATGAGTCAGAAAGAGAGGGATAGACATAGAAAGATTGCATTCATCTGGCGGACATAAAGTAACAAAATAGGAGATTAATACCCAAGAATAGCCGAGATCAGTACCAGGAGGATTACTCCATGGCTTAGAGGCCAGCCGGGCATTCTAGGGGAAAGGGCAGCTCAGATAGAGAAGGGAGCACCAAATAAAGGGTGTTTGGAGGATCCTCCCAGGATGGGAGATACATGTTGAAAGTAGACTATGGACCGAACATGATTGCCACTCAATGCCTCTTTTGCAGACCACAACACCCAAAAGGAGAGAGAGAACAAAAGGGAATGCCCTGCCACAGAGGCAGGTTGGGATGTGGGTGTGGGAGGGATACTGGGATCCATGGTGGTGGAAAATGGGCACTGGTGGAGGGACGGGTACTTGATCATTGTATAATCAAAACCCAAGCACAAAAATTTGTAAATCTACAACTGTACCTCATGGTGTTTCACTAATAAAAATTTTTAAAAAATATTCTTTTAATTGAATCACCATGAGGTAGTTACAAAGTTTTCATGTTTGAGTTTAAGTCATACAATGATCGAACACCCATCCCTCCACCAGTGCACATTTTTCACTATCAATGTCCTCAGTATCCCCACCCCTCACCCCCACCATCCCAGCCTTCCTCCTGCTCTATGGCAGACAATTTCCCCCATACTCTCTCTCTACTTTTGGGCATTATGGTTTGCAGTACAGATACTGAGAGGCTATCACGTTTGGTCCTTTTTCTACTTTCAGCACACATGTCCCATCCTGGACGAATTATCCCTCCAACCATCATTGACTTAGTGATCCTTCTCTATTCCAGCTGCATTCTCCCTCAGCTATGAGGCAGGCTTTCAACCAATATTCCTGGCCCTTGTCTCTACTGTTTTTGGGTTATCAGTCTCATATTGTGTTATTTTAGATTATGAGCTCCTTGAGTAAAAGAATGAGACCTCCTGCTTACTAAATGCTAAACACATTAAAATTCCAAATGGGAACTAGGAGAAAATTTTCTTACTTGGGATAAAGGTTTTCTTGAGTTGAAATCTAGAATGAAAACAGTACCTTGCTATCGTTCTTTTTTGTTTTTGTTTTGGGCCACACCCAGTGATGCTTAGGGCTTACTCCTGGCTCTGCACTCAGGATTTACTTCAGGCAGTGTTCCGGGGACCATATGGGATGCTAGGTATCAAATCAGGATCAAATCTGTGTCACGTCATGGTCATGTGCAAGGCAAACATCCTTCCCTCTGTACTATGTCTCTGGCCCCTTATTGTTACTTTTATGCAGCAGAGCTATCTTACTATTTTTTTTTAAAGATTTTTCGTTTAGAACCCATACCCAGTGGTGCACAGGGGCTGTTCCTGGCTCTGTGCTTAGGAGTGAGCCCTGACTGTGCTTGGGGGGCCATATGTGGTGCTGGTTATCAAACCAGAGTCAGGAACATACAAGGCAAATGTCTTACTGTCCAGAATATCTAAATTCTTTATTTATCAGTTTTTTTTGGTTTGGGCATCACACCCTGTGGTGCTTGTGGTATCCTCCTGCTCCTGAGCCCAGGGGTCCTCCTGGCAGTACTTGGCAGACCATATGCTGGGCCAGATATGGAGCCCGGGGTGACTGCATGCTAGACACCCACCGGAACCCGTATTCTATCTCCATATTTTCATATGGATATAGAGGTGCCTGTTAATTCTTCATTATAGTTATTATCTGAACTGAGTTTCTGATTAAGGAGTCTGCCATGGACAGATGGACAGGAATGAAGCACCAGTCCTGTCATATATGAAAGCCCTGAGGTGACCTGCTTCTTCCGAAGTGACCCTTTTACTTATGTAATTCCTATCCTTCAGCTTTGGCCATTGACACCTTTTTACTCCAGCTTCACCGTCCTGCTTGGACCACTGTTCTAGGGTGTTAATTCTTGAGAAATGTGGTCTTTTATTTTCTTTCTTTCATACTCTAGATCAAGTATGTAATGTGGACTTCTTTAAAGGGATGTTCCACTTCAGTTTTAATTCTTGTTTCTTCTGATTTATCCTGAGCCTCTATTTTCCTGTGGATATTGTGGTTGAATATCTCTTCCATTCAGCATTTGTATTCCAAGTATACAAATTATACATTGAATTCCATTCCATTCAATAAACATCGGAGTTCCTAAATTTATATGGGGATAGAGTTCTAAAGTAGTGTAAAAAGAGGAACTACTATTCATTTTTCTCTTTTTAAAAAAAGCAAAGTGCGGTTTTTTGTTTGTTTGCTTTGGATTTGGGGGGCTCCAGCTGGCAGTAGTGAGGTCTGACACTTGGCTCTGCACTCAGGAATTATTCCTGGCAATGCTTGGGGTGGTCTATCAGATGCTGGGGATTGAACTTGGGTTGGCCATGTGCAAACACCTACCCGCTCTCTGTTGCTCCAGCCCCTGAAAGTACTTTTAACTGACAAAATAATCCATGTGAGCCAATAACTTAGTGTTATAATGGATCTTTTAAAAAAAGCTCTAATAAATTTTTGTCATATTGTTGGGTGAAATATGTTAATATTTCATAGTTAATGCTAACATATTAACTAATTCCATTAGAAGAAACCCGTGTTAATATTTGCTGATTGTGTACTAAAGAAATAAAAGAAACCCTTAGATGTAGTCATTTTTCAGGTCCTGCCATCTTCTGCTGGAGCGGTGTCAGTGGTAGGGTGTGTACATTGCACATGAGAGGCACTGGGTTTGATCTCCAGCAGAGCATTAAAAAAATTATCATTTAATTTATGGTGGAAAACTTCTGAAGCAACCAACACTGTTCATCTATTCTGCTGCCTTTTTCGGGTTGGCAGTGTGTTTTTATGTGGGAGAGACTCACAGTAGGCAAACAGGAGATACTTACGTGCTGTATTAACTTTTCTTTCTGATCATTTCCACGTGCTAAGAAAGCCACAAGTAATTACTTAGCCCAAATATCGTGAAAGGTGAGGTGTGAAAGCCAACCCCAGTGTGTTAACAGTAAGTACAGAAACATGGCACATCGATAGTTTAAATTACTGGAATTTTAAAAGAAAACCCCCTATTTTGTAAGTTATTGTGAAATGTTATAGATACTAAAGTAGCCGATACTCTTTTATGTCTTTCCTTTTATTATTTCCCCAAAGTAATTAACCTTAAGCTGGCAATCCATCTTTATTTCTCTTAAAATACATTTCTATTTTATTTTTGAGGCAATGTAATATGTAAATATAGGACATCTTGTAACAGTGCCTTACATATAAATCTCGCTGCTCAGGGATCTAGTTTTCCTTAAATTTTATTTTTTGAATTTCTGTAGCTACTGTTTATTTGGCTGTCATAGATGCTGTTTATCAATTTAGGAAGCATGCATACTTTAAAAATAAACTCTTAAAAACAACTGTTGTGAATTATCTCGAATTATTCAAAGTGCTTTTTATGTCCCCATTATCTTGTCAAGCACATTCATTAAAAAAAAAAGCATGCATTTAATTCAGTGGGCAACGACTTTAGAAGTTAAAATGAGTAGAAATACATTACCTTAGTATTTCTTCCATCCACATATTTCTCCTCATACTCTTGGTTAAATAAGGTCTCTTCAAAATTAGCTGTTCCATAATCATAGATAATGCGTGAGTTGTGCTGAGCTGGCGGTGCTGGTGTTATCAGAGGCACAACCAGTAACAAGAGAAGTGTCGAGTGCAGCGTCTTCATTTTAGCAAAAACCAAGGTAAATGGAAGTTACTAAGCTAGTGGCCTGCTGACTGGGACAATACTCTCTTTTTCCCTGGAAATAAAAACGCAGACCATTGAAGCAATATTTAAAAGCTTAGAGGACTTTTTGGCAAGGGTATGCACAGTGAGGGCCAGAGAACAAGTATTTAACCCTTGGTGATCTTTAATTAGATGCTAAACCTTTTTTTATATCAGCGAAACACTCTGAAAAGAAGTTTGAAAAGTGTTTGATTTCTATCAAAGGTCTAAGCAATGCTGATCATTTCAGCTTGTTAACAATGAGGTGTCTTGAAAGTGGTCCTTAAGGGCTTGTGAAATCTTAAGATACCTGCAGTATAAATAGTTAAAATCAAGTCCTAAGATTCTGTCTCATGTGAGTTAAAAATATCATATTTCTACTTTGTTATTTCTTAAGAACTCTTGATTTATATTGGTATGAACAGAAACACGTTCCAGGGCAAATTTTAAAACTTCAACTATAACAATTCCAAAAAATAGTCATAAACTCTTTTAGATGTTATGAAATATGGAAAAAAGGGCATAATGTAAATTCTCTTAATTTTGTGCTTCTCAGTGGTAATGCTATTCATAGTATTGTTTATAAGATTAGAGCTCTAAGGAAAATAAAAGTTAGTACTGGAGAATCAAAAAACAATAGAACTTTAAGCACAGATTTGGAGGATATAATGAATCTTTCAGACGCACAGTGGAATTTTTTGGTTGTGCAAACTTGAGGTTTTTTCTGGAGTAAGTTAAAACAAAATCACCCAGAGTTGCTGATGCTGCATTGTAGATACCAATTTGTCAAAAAAAACCCCAAAAATCCCAGTGGTTACAAATGAAGAATTAATAAGGTATTGTGAGTTGAGGCACCCTATTGCTTGCATGAATATAAAAAATTATGCAATGGTCCACAAAATGCTTGTTTAAAAATAATTTAGCTGTTTAGAGATGGCCTTTATGTTTTTTATTAAGACTGTTAGATGAGTCACATCTAAACAAACAACAATTCGAATAATACGTAAGAAAATCGCCTACCGTTTTAGCTGTTGAGATGCCCTTTGTGGTTTTCCTCAACAGGCGTCCATGCCTGTGCTGTGGCCCCCCGTGGGAGGGTGAGTGAAGAAATCTGGGGTTGATTTCCAACTGCTGAATCGAATTTCAGGGCCCCGCAGCTTTAAAAGCACTCTCCATGTGGTTGAGATCTTTGCCAACATTCTTTCTCTAGGGTGAAAAGTAGTGTATTGTGCTTGAGAATTGTGCTTAAAAAAAGTATTTGTTACTGCTATGTTCAGCCCGCCTCTGCTAATCACTGAAAGCTGTTATTTTTATGTTGTATGTTAAACATCGGCATTTCAGTGATTCATTTATAAGCTGAAATCATAGGTCTGAAATCATGCTTTTCATATTAATGCTTTCCAAGGGGATTGATAGTACATTTGCTTTCTTGGCTGAAATGAAACTGCCTTGCAAGTGGTCTGCCCTTTTTTAATCTCCAGCCCCCCTATCTGGTCCCTTAGCACTGACAAGGGTCACTCTTGAGCAAAGAGCCAGGAGAAGCTCCTGGTCACTACTGATTGTGGCCCCCAAATCCACCAAATATTTTGACATCTAATTTGGGGTTTTATGGTAAAACATTCTTGTTTGTTAAATGAAGTAGTCTTATTATTTTAATAAGTAAAGTAAAGTAAAGTAAAGGCCCTCCCGTTGATCATCGATTTGCTCGAGCAGGCCCAGTAACGTCTCCATTGGAGACTTTGTTGTTACTGTGTCTGGCATATCGAATACTCTCGGTAGCTTGCCGGGCTCTCCGAGAGGGGCAGAGGAATCGAACTCGGGTCGGCCATGTTGGCTGCGTGCAAGGCAGACGCCCTACCCGCTGTGCTATCGCTCCATTATTACTATTATTTTAATATTTATAATAAGTAATATTTAATATTACTTACTATTATTTTAATATGGAATTTGATTTTTTTAAGCCTTATAATGCATTAAATTTTATTTTGGGGAGGTGAGGAGATGTGAGTTAGCAGTAGTTATACCTGCTCTGTCTGTGTGGGGCCCTAGTTATGATCCTGATACTGAAAAAAATGAAAAGGAATAAAAATGAGGAGGAATAGAGGCTGGAAATGTAACTCAGTGGACCAAGCAAATGCTTTGCATGTGTGAAGTCTCCATTCATTTCCCAGCACCATATCCCTGAGCACTGCCACAGGGGCAGCCACTGAGCACAGATCAAGAAGCACCTGAGCACCCCCTGGGTGTGGCACCTCCCAAACAGAAACAAAAAGAATAAATTTGAATTTTTAAGGATTGAAGTGATATTTTAGAAACTGTAGTATTTTTTTTAAAAAAATTTGTTAAGCACCAGGATTTACAATGTTATTTATTGTTGAGTTTTAGACATACAATATTGTACAATATTGCAGCACCAATCCTGCCATCAATGTCAACTTCTCTCCACCAATGTTTTTAGGTTCCCTCCCAAATCCTCCTAACCCCCAATTCCCACCCCCACAGCCTGCCCTCGTGACAGCCCTTTTCTGAGTTTGGTTATTAAAGTTTGGGTCTAATGATTTCAGTGTTGTTGATTCTGTGTTTGGATATTTGGCTCTGTCATTCCTTAACACCTTTGTACCTCAATCCCCATTGCTTCTCATCTGTCTCTTCTCACTCTTTCCTTCCTTCTCCTCCCTGTACTCTGGGGCCAAGTTTGATCTAGGCATCCTCCTTTAAAGCGTTGCATTCCTTCATCCTGATAACTGTAATATTCTTAAAGATACAATAAAACTTTTAAAGTCTTTGGAAATATTTACTTATAAAGCAGCAAGCACAGGCTTGTTTTGCTTTGTGCGGCAAATTTAAGAGTGTGTAACTTAAGTGAACTGGTTAGATGCTGATTTAGAGAATCTCTGTGATTCATGGTTTCTTTAATGATATACAATGACATTTTGTACTACAGAACATTATTTTGTGAGTTATATCATCTTTCCTTGAAAATTTATGACCAGTGAATGCAGCCTTATGTAATAAGTTTCCTAAGCACCAATTCTCTGCGAGAACTGCAGACAGCATATCAATTCCTCCCCCTGAGATACTGTGGTCAAGCGTCAGCAGGAAGGCCAGCAGACAGAACGCACGGTGGAATGTGCTGCCAAGCAACTTGCTCGGGGTTTCTTTGGAAGAGTTGGGGTGGGCTATGGCGGGATGACAGACAGTGGGGAAGATGTCGGGGAAGGGGAAATGGAGATGCCTACCTGGGCTAGAAGGAGAGTGAGGGAAGCAAGGAGCGAGACACTGAAAGGCCCAGGTAAAGGAGATTCTTGCTTTGCTGAGGTGCTTGGGCTTCGGTCTTTTTTATTGTTGCTATTTATTTGTTTGTTTTTGTTTGATGGCCACACCTGGAGGTACTTGGTTACTCAGGAATTACTCCTGGTGGTGCTCAAGGGACCATATAGGATGCTGGGGCTCCAATCCAGGTCGGCTGTGTGCAAGGCAAACACCTTATGCACTATCACTCGGCCCCTTGGACTTCATTCTGTAGCCAGAGACCGCTGAGAGATTCTTAAGGCAGTGGGAGAGACGATCCCATTTTCATTTTAGAGCTATCCCTCTGTTATACTTCTGAAGAAAACAACTGCCTGACCATTAGATTGGTTCTTTATTGACAGCTTAGTGACTTGCCACTGAAGATAAGCACTGAGATACTTCACTGTCTCAGAGTTCCTGGGGTTCCAGATTCTGGACCAGGTTGTTTCTGGTCTGGCCTGAAAGCTGCAGGCCAGGTGTTGGCTGGGACTGCCCCTCACTTCAGGGGCTGAGTAAGGTCAAGGAAGTGTTTGTTGATTGAGGCTCCTTCAGTATGTGATCTTGAGGGCCTAACTTCCAGCTGCGTGATAACCAGAGCCATCCTCCATTCCTTTGAAGGTGGCTTCTTCTATTGGGCAGCCAACAGCTGCCACCAGATGCTTAATTTAGCAATATATAGTGATCCTGTCCTCAGCAGCTTACATGCTATCCTGTCACCAGGTTCCACTGGTTGGACTCAAGTCAGAGCTTATACCCACATCAAAGGGAATGTAAATACACAAAGCAAGATTCAGGAAATATTCAGAATTGCACTGGAAAAGAAACTTCTGTTTCCCAAACAGGAGTCTGAGAACACAGTCTCAAGGCTTTTGTTACTTCTGACACCAACTGCAAATTTGAAGGGCTCCCAAAGTCATGCCTTTCACATTTCATAATTTGTTAGAATGATTGTGAAACTCCTTGAGGGCCATTATACTTGTGGGTATGTGTTATCCAGCAAATGGGCTTATGAAAATTCAAGGAGGAGATGCATTGAGCAAAGTCTGGGAGAGGTTCAAATGCAGGCCTTCCATGGCTGACATGGTGTCCTAACTTCCAAGCATTATCTATGACAAAATGCACAGGGTCTTAACCACGGAGGGAGGCGCCGCTATGTCTGTTGTTACTCCAGCTTCGGTAAATAGGTATGATCAGTTGACTGAGTGGAGCGTGGTAGAACTCTGTTATCTGTGGCCCAGACTCTCGTCCTCAGTCACCTGGTTCACTTTCTGGCATGTCCCTCCCCAACCCAAACCTATCAGATACTGCTGATCCCATACTGAAATCCCATGTGATGACCCCCATCCTAAGGGAAGGTGTAGAATATCTACCCCAAACCCAGACTTCTCTTTGGACAAGGCCACATTATTTTCAACACAGTCCTTAGTACAATATATGTAAAAGGTAAAGGTAAAGGCCCTCCCGTTGATCGTCGATTTGCTCGAGCGGGCCCAGTAACGTCTCCATTGGAGACTTTGTTGTTACTGTGTCTGGCATATCGAATACTCTCGGTAGCTTGCCGGGCTCTCCGAGAGGGGCGGAGGAATCGAACTTGGGTCGGCCATGTTGGCCGCTTGTAAGGCGAACGCCCTACCCGCTGTGCTATCACTCCAGCGCACAATATATGTAAAAACTTAGATTGTTTCCTGCCCCAGTATTATTGTATCTTAGTGCAGAGCTAACTGAACTTTCACTGTTCAGTAATGAAAGAAGAAAGCTGTTTCATGCACAAGTGTAGTCATTATAACCAACAGAGAGTGGGTCTCTGTAGAGCTCTTCTGAGTACCGTTGTTTTATCTTTGGTGTCTGTATTCCTTTGAAGGTGTCGCATTGGGTTTTTGGTTCTAACCCATAATTGTTTTTCAAGTGCAAGTCACACACACACAAAAATGTTTTAAGGAAATTAAGGTTTGCAAAGAAGGAGTTTCTGGGGGAGGAGGGGTTTTTGTTTGGGGTTTTTGTTTGTTTGTTTTTATTTTTGGAAGTGACTTAGTTCTACTGATAGAGGACATGTTACTGCCAATGGTGTGGCTTTCTGGGAAAGAGTGTTATTTGAGACTCAGAACACATAGGTGGCTGATTTTGTTCTGTCATTAGCCCTTCCAATCTTGGACAGTTTAACTACTTTGTTTCTTTTACCTGCTGAATTAGAATCTAGTAACTACAGAGTTTCTCAACCTCAACACAGTAGAAATTTGGGGCCGGATAATTCTTTGTGGTGACTGCAGACCTGTGCATTTTTAATAGCATATCTGCCCACCAGGTGCCAGTAACACTCTTCCACCTCCTTGTGGCCCTTTCACTGTGACCACCAAATTGTGTCAGACTTGTCCAAGCATTCCCTGTATAGCAAGATCTGCCCCATTGAGATGTACTGTGCTACAGATATTGATAGCCTTTCGAATCCAGTGTTCTGGGACTTTGTGGAAAACCTGTGGTTTGAATCACCAGGTTAAAATCTCATCTTTTGGTCAAATCAGATCAAGATGAGAACTCAAATACTTCCCACATTTAAGACTGAAATGTAGGTGCTGGAGATATAGGACAGTGTCTAAGGCACTTGTCTTGCATGCAGCTGATTCGGTTCTATTCCCAGCATTGTATATGTTCCCCTGTGGCAAAATGATCCTTGAGTTCTGAGCCAAGAATAAGCTCTGATCACCACTACGTGTGGCCCCCAAACAAACAAAAAAAACCCATGGTGAAAAAGAATGAAATGGAAGGAAATTATGCTCAATATAAGGAAAGGTTTATGGTTACAGTGTTCTGTACTTGTGATTCAATTTTGAAATTAAATTAAAATTTTAATTAAGTTATATGTA